ATGTCCAACTCCCAATAGACTGCGATCTACTCACAGTATTAAAAAAAACTGGCAGTGATCTATCCATTGTGGTTGAGCTTTTTTTAGGAAGCCACTGCTGTTGCTTTCAACCTTTTTGTGGGGGGAGATCACTGAGGGGCAAGAGATCTACCAGGAACACCCCATGATCTACCATTAGATCACGATCTACCTGTTGGACATGCCTGTTCTAGGGGAATAGTCAAGCTGGAGTTGTACATTAGCTTTCCTTGCAGGACAAAAAGAGACGGCTGTGCTGTAATTCAAGGAAGGAGTGCAGAAGCAAAGAAGCAGTTTGGCAATATTGACCTCCTCTGTTGCTTGTTAGTGAAATGCCTCCTTTATCTCTAGCGACTTCATCTTTGCAGACTGGGTTATTTGACAAATAGTACTTAGCCTAGGAATATGCAAACACCATGTGCTGTGGACCCAGGTCAACTCTTACCAACATTACTGCAGTGATCTCCTTCTTCTCTTTACTTCCTGTTTTTCTGTCCTCTCCACATCACACATGTCTAAACAGAGGTGGGAATTGGGGGGTCCTGCAGATGTTGCTGGACATACCATCATCTCTGACTCTTGGCTTTGCTGGTTGGTGCTGATGAGAGATGCCTCCAGCTAGCTCCCTCGCCCTTTATCATTCCTAAGCCACTTCCTGACTCTAAATATTTTTGCATGCTTCATCTGATTCCTTATCAAACAGAACCTTTCCCCTTAATCTTTTCCCTTAGTTCTAAGCTTCTAATCATGAGAGGACTCCTGCACCTTCTAGACAGGAAAATTCCACTAGCTGTGGTTTCTCAACGTTTTGTAATGAAAAAAGGCACACGGGCAAAAATATTTCTCCTTCTGATTGACTCTTAAAGGTACAGGATGTCAAGCAATTTTATTTCTGTCCAGCCTGTTACATATGTGTGTGCATGCAGTATTCAAAAACAGGAGCATCAAAGTAATGCTAACACAATCAAACAACAAGAAATACTTCACGTGAGCCAGTCCACGTGTTCAGTTCCCAGAATTCCAATCCAGGAATCAAATGATGAGAGATCAGGTAAAAGCATGGGTGGATCATGTACTTAGTGGATTGTCCCTTCAGTATTTTCCAAGGATGCAATCATATGGAGAACATTTCACATCAGTTCTCATGGGCAAATTACTTTGGAAATGTGTGCTATGGTTGTAGAAATTACTGCAGAGAAGTGATAGCTGTATCTCTAGACCTCCACATTTTTGAGATATTTTCTTCCTGGGAAGGGTAGCAATGATACAAGGGTGACCATATAAATGAGCCAGTATATGGAGGTGTGACCTGACCTTTAAGTTTTAAGCTCTCCAAAGGCCCTTCATCCCTTCTGTACAATGTTTAGGTCCCAAGATGAAATATAAATGTTATGTTCCAGTACTAATGATCAACATAGTCCTAGGGGGTGGTCAGAATATATAAATCTGTTGTTGGCAATACATAAAGTTGCTGTTGCAGCTGGGTCAGATGAAGGCGTCTGGTTGTGCTGCTGCAGATGCACCAAGGCATTTCTTCTGTCTGAGCTCCTCCCAGTGGTCATCCCTCCTCTGGTCACTGCTATAGATACACAACCTGTCTCCAGGCATTATGGCAAGGAATGATCACATGGCAGGGTTGATGTTGCGAACCTTCATGTCATGTTTGCAGACAACTTTATAATGCAGAATACCTGAAGCCAGCTCCCTGTTGAGCATGTCTCTGGGGATCCTGCCATCTTCTATACTGTGGAAATGACCAACTCCATGTAGACAGAAATGGTACTTCTTATTTTTTTAAAAAAATGATTAGCCTTGGTCACGGTACTGGCCACAAAATTTAACCAGTCATCAGTGCACTTACACGAAAATATCGGTTTTATCTCTCACTTACATGTGCTATTCTATACATGTCCGCTCAACAGATATGGTGCTCACCTATACTAAGGTTAAGGAGGCATAAGGTTGCAGTCTTGATATTTTCATTAGCTTATTGATCTCCAAAAAAGGAAGTGTGAAACAAGATCAAATACAGAGACCCAAGAGTTAGTTTTAGATGTTTGGGAGCTGTGCATTCATTCAGCGATAAAGAAATGGCACTCTGCTCTTGCTCAGAAGCATCACTTTGTTATGACTTTTGCTGTCTCGGGGCGAGAATTACCAGTTCACAGATTCTATTCAGAGTTACTATAACTATAAACAATCATGCCTGCGAACATTTGAAGCTGGCTTATTCTGAGTCAGACTGTTGGTCTATGTATCCCAATACTATTCCATTCAAAAGCAAGGTAAGGTAAAAGTAAAGGTACCCCTGCCCATACAGGCCAGTCTTGACAGACTCTAGGGTTGTGCGCTCATCTCACTCTAGAGGCCGGGAGCCAGCGCTGTCCGGAGACACTTCCGGGTCACGTGGCCAGCGTGACGACGCTGCTCCGGCGAACCGGCACCAGAGCAGCACATGGAAACGCCATTTACCTTCCCGCTATAAGCGGTACCTATTTATCTACTTGCACTTAAGGGTGCTTTCGAACTGCTAGGTGGGCAGGAGCTGGGACCGAATGACGGGAGCTCACCCCGCCGCGGGGATTCGAACCGCCGACCATGCAATCGGCAAGTCCTAGGCGCTGAGTTTTTACCCACAGCACCACCCGCGTCCCTTTTTCTTTTTCCCTTGTCAAAAGCAAATGTTCTTAAATTTTACAGGGTTCACCCTCCCCTTTTAGTTTAACCTTGAATATATGCAAGATGGGACCTTTCAGCTTTTCTCAGAACCGTGTTGTATAGCTTGTGTGGCAAGCTGAAATTCCATCTTCTACCCAACTATTAAAGATACAGGAGTCATGTTGTCTTTTCTACTGAGCCAGCTCTCCTCACCCTTCATCTGACAGAGGCTGTATAAAAGCAAAACAACTTAAGAAAACCCTGAAAACTTTTTTTTAAAAAATGAGCAGGAACTCGGGGAGGGGACACAATTTGGAATGGACAAGGGGGCTTTTGGAAATTTATTGATGGAAACACAGTTTGGGAAATAATTTAGAGTAGGACAGCTGTACATAGGGAAGAGATGAAGCGTCTCATTTCTCTACTCCAAGCTATGCTCCTCTTGAAACCTCCCAAATTTTTATAATGACAATTTAGATTCTGTTTCATGCATATTTGTATAACAGAGAATCATAGAATTGTAGAGTTGGAAGGGACCCCAAGGGTTATCTAGTAGTAATGCCCCAAGTCCTATCTTAAAAGGTACGGTTAAATATAATATTACACACACACACACACACACACACACACACACACACATATATATACACAAAAATGAATAGCGACATGCTAGATTTGCAGCAGGAATAACCTTAGCATGCCTTTTAGACACTTCAAATGCACTCTCTGTGGAATACTAGGTTCTACATCAAAGCCTGCTTTCATTGAAAGATTTTGTTTTATGAGCCAGCAAAAGACTCTCAAGAATCAAATCAAATTGTGCAGATCAGCAAAGGGTATGAAGCAGCTCTCTCTACACTTTGTTCAAATGGCACAATTCTTTTTCCCTTGTCAAACGCCGTTATCAATCTCAGCACTTCTCTTAAGAGGATCTAGACTTCTATCAGGGTTTTTGTAATACAAACTGGCTTTCCCCTTGCTTTGGGTTTAACTTGAACCCTGTGTCAAAATACACCCTGACCCAGCACTAAGATAATCAGGTGCATTTGACACAGCCCCTGTACTTCTAACAGCTGCATGGCAGCTTACAATGCAATTATTGAAGATAATTAAATCCTATTCTCTTGTTTCAGGGTTGGGTAATCTGTGAGCCTCTGGTTATTGTTGCTGGACTCTGACTCCCATCAGCCCCCGCCAACATGGCCAATGGTCAAGCATGATGAGACTTGTAGACCAACATCTGGTGAAATGCCCATGCACTTCAGTTTCCATTGAACAAGATGAGAGGTGGGAAACTCACGAAAGGAGCCTTAAGTTAGGTAACTAATTCATCTACAATGAACAGCAAATCATCTAATCCATTAGTCCATCTACCCAGGATAGCTGCCATAATTCAAGGACTCAGGGAGATATCCTTCCTAGCTCTGCAACCCCATATATTGGGATTTGAATTTGGAAACCTATTGCCACAAGTACATCCTCTAAGCCAGGCATAGGCAAACTCCGGCCCTCCAGATGTTTGGGACTACAATTCCCATCATCCCTGACCACTGGTCCTGTTAGCTAGGGATGATGGGAATTGTAGTCCCAAACATCTGGAGGGCTGGAGTTTGCCTATGCCTGCTCTAAGCAATATTATCTAGTCTTTACTTTCATGAGTTGGGTTATTATACTAGTACAGTAGAGTATTTGACATAGCCTTCAAGGAGATTGTTCAACACTAAACTGTGTTAAGTAAGCGAGAGTTTCTTATCTGCTGGAAGACGTACATGCAAGTGATGCAATTTCTTTAGCAATATATATACTTTTGGAATATATATACATATTTGCACATTATTTGTGATTGGGATAACACTCCTCTGTTTCTTGTGCCCTCTGTATCAGCCTGCCACCTCCCAGTCCACTGATATGCCTTAAAATAAAAGTGATTCCTACAGAAAGCAGTCCATTTTTATTGCTTGATAATTGCTGTAATAATGACAAGTGACAGCAAAATAAAACAATAACTCACTAACACCCTTTTGAAGGGGAAACCAGAAAGAGGGAAAGGAAACATACAGCCAGATTCTGTACAATTTTACTCGTCAGTAAGTCCCACAAGTTCAATAGGACTTTCTCCCAAGTAAGTGCACATGGGATTGCTGGCCAAAGTTTCAACACTGAACATGCTTATTTGGACACAATTCCTATTGAAACCAATGAGACTTGATTTGAGTAAACATAGAGCAAATGAGGCCATCAAATTGCAGTGGACCATTTAGAATCACTTGAGAGGTAGATTTCTTCGGGTACTGGAAAGAACCTATTCTGTGCTGAAGCCTTGCCACGTTATTATTATTATTTATTGAATTTATACAGCAAAGGTCATCTGTCTCTCAATTTTTCCTCTTGGGGAGTCACTTGCTTGAAGGCAATACAATCACTATGGTGAAAAGTATGTGAAGGAGACAAAGACATATCCCCCCCTTTATTTTATAAATGGAGGAGACTCCTGGATAAGCAAAGGCATGCCATAGCAAACAATTAAATTCCTTTCTCAAGCTGCTCTTCACTTCTGTGCCACTAAGGACCCACAAACACATTCTGATGAATTTCAAACGTCTAAAAAATCATGTAAATGTAATATCTAACTAGAAAAGAGAACTTCTGATGTTCACTAGCAGTTAATTCCTAGCATATATGTTCTTTTTAAATTGTCAATAAGAACATTTTTCAGGAGTAATTTTCTGTTTGAAAGTGCAGTAAATTGAAATATGAGCAACATGTAATTGATGAGGGGAAATTAAGTAATTAAAAGCTAAAAATGGTCATGATTCTGAAAATGCTTCTGTCTATGGAAATTGAAGAGAATGCTATTTGTTTATCTATCTATTTGTGTGTTTGAATTCTTTAAAAAGACTTATATGCTACCCTGAAACTAATATCTTCAGATAATCCCACTACTAATTTCCTTTCACAAGTGTAAGTTTCAGACCATGTTCAGATAAGAAACACTTTAAAAATAGGATTTCCAAACATGTGTTTTCTTTTCTATTGACCAGGATTGCGCAGTCTTATAGTATTGGGTAACCTGCTTGGGTCTCCTGAGAACCAGTGCAAAATGATGTTCATGAGCAGTTTCTATGACTGAAAGAGGAAATGTCAACCCAACAATGAAAATAAGATGCCCAAGTACAAGCACAGGCAAGGGTTAGTCCTCAGGAGCTAGTAAGGCACTAAATACCTGAAAAAGAGTCTATTTTAGAAGAACCCCGGTATTTGTTGGCTCATATTATTCTTTCAGTGATATTGACCAAGCTCTTAGAATGCTGATTATGGAGGACCATAATTCAGTGGATTAGATCAAAGGTTTTCAAAATGCATTCTTGCTTGGAGGTTCTCAGGGGTTCACTGCTGAGAACATTAGCACCAGCAGGGAAACCTGCCTGAAAGATACTTTGCCTACCCCTACTCCCTGCAATGTGCAACCTCAAAGTGTGCTCAAGGGATCAGTCTCAGTGTTTGTGGGACAACGGCCAATCCTCCTCATGAACTGACATGGGGTCCTGGAACTTATGCCAGAACCCTCTTCTATCTGCAGACACATTAAACAAGTCAATGAGGAAGGGGATCCATCAAGACAGAACTTTTGAAAAATGATAGGATTCAGTGGTCTACATTTTTCTGGTTCTACCTGTCCAAAGAGAGAAAAACTATTTTTGATCGATCAGACTCGGAGGAATAAATGGTAAAGTGTTGGTTTTCAGGTTTAAAAGAAACCTTTGTTTATTTGAATGTGTAATGTACTCAGGAGGGCAAATAATACAACATAAAATACGGCAATATAGATAGCTTCTAAGTGACCATAACAAATTCATCCAACCTCCCAATTATCTCTTTCCAGCCTCATCTCTGTCTCAGACTCAGATGAAAATAATTCTAATTGTTTCATTCAGGTGATCGTTAAATATAGATTGAAGACCGCTACTTCTGGTCATTGTGTTTTTTGGTACAACAACCCACCATCCATGCACGCCCTACTCCCACCAGGAGAAAAGGGGGCAGCTGAGACATGCCAACCCATCTGCTGTGTTTAGAGCCTCTGGCACAGATGAAGTGGTCTGGCTTGATAGATAAAGGTAAAGGGACCCCTGACCATTAGGTCCAGTCATGGCCGGCTCTGGGGTTGCGGCGCTCATCTCGCTTTATTGGCTGAGGGAGCTGGCGTACAGCTTCCGTGTCATGTGGCCAGCATGACTAAGCTGCTTCTGGCGAACCAGAGCAGCGCACGGAAACGCCATTTACCTTCCTGCTGGAGCGGCACCTATTTATCTACTTGCACTTTGATGTGCTTTCGAACTGCTAGGTTGGCAGAAGCAGGGACCGAGCAACAGGAGCTCACCCCGTCATGGGGATTCGAACCACCGACCTTCTGATCGGCAATTCCTAGGCTCTGTGGTTTAACCCACAGCGCCACCCGCATCCCTCTTGATAGCTAGTCTGTATCAAATTGCTGAGACCCCTGCTTCACCTTTATTCCACAGGTGTTCCATCAATGGGGTGACAAATCTAAAGTATCAGAGACTGTGAGAGAAATGAATATATTTAACATTAAAAAAAACAAAAAATGGAGGGGAGGGTGGGGGGAGTGTTTCATTTCATGTTCTTCTCAATCCAGTCTTTGAAAGGGATGGCTCGGGTGTAGCCAGCATAGAGTTCTAGGCTGCATGTTTTATCGTAACCCCAGCTCACTAACCCCATGAGATGCCAGGTTAACTCCGGAGATGATTTTCCTGGCAAAGCTATAGCTGCAATGCCTCCAGTCTCAGCAGGGCAGATGTTGGAAAAGGCGGTGGGGTGCTGCTTGGCGCAAAACATGCTCTCGGTGACGCTGACCTGGATGCCGTTTTCCTCATACTGCTGCTCACACAACAGGGAGTCTACCATCTGAACAGTCCCCATGCGGAGGGTGTCGTTCTTGTAGCTAGGATCGGCAACATCTGTCAGGATCTTCCAGCCAGTGATCATTATCTGCAAGTCATCCGCGGGTGGATCGATATCGCGTATAGATGCCAGGCATATGGGTTGGACACGGCTGCTGATTTTCCCTTTGTCCAGGAGTTTAATGAGAGCAATGTCAGAGTCGAGCAAGATAGGGTCATAGTTAGGGTGAACTATGATTGCTGAAATCTAGGAAAGAGCCCAGATATAGTCAACAAATTATAACGGCTTCATTTTCAGTTCACCATTTACTTGAAATTTATTATTATTATTATTATTATTATTATTATTATTATTATACTTTTCCCCTGAAAGGGACTCAAGGAGGCTAAAATAGAAAGAGCTAAAAAAAAAAACCAGGGGAAAAGCTATCATTAAAAAATATAAATATTAATAGAACATTGTGTGTGATCTGTTACAACATACAGATGATTACGATAAAAACATTGCAGCACCAAGCCAGTTAAAACAGTCAGTTCCCAAAAATGTGTTGGAACATAATATATACAACTGGGAAATTCTGAGGTGTCTCAATCATTGTAAGGTGGTCCCATTGCTGCTGGTGACTCATTGTCATTATTTAGAAAGATCTTTTGGTAGATTACACTATTGAATAGGAAATCAAATGGCTATTGTTCTAACAATACTTCATTCACCAATGGAAATTAATTTGGGGAAGGTCCACATGTTTTCATGTAAACTCTAATTTCTGTAGCTAGAATTCAGTATTTTGTAGCAAGGTCATTTACACTGGACAGATCTGCATACATTTCACAGCTGAATGGCAGAATGCTTTGCAAACATACTGTGGGGTGCTTCTCAGAGACTGGCAGGGGTAGGAGGTATCATAGTATTGGAAGTGCAAAAATTCTGCATCTGGAATGACCAGGGCCAGGGGGAAGGAGAGGGAATACTCTGTAGTGCAGTACTCCTGAATGTCTGGTCTGGGTCACTAGAAGAGAACGCGTAGAGCCTTCAGACTTTTAAAAAAAGTTCTTGATGCCAACTAGAAAATTTCTTTAAAACGTTGGCAAATGAAGGTGATGATTTTGCAATACCAGGCAATCCTAACAAGCAGAGTGATCATAGCAATGTATAGGCCCTCTGCCTACAAATGGGTTTCATGGTAACAAATAGCTGGCTAGGAAATTGCCTGAGATGTTATCTTATAATACTTCAAGTTGGTAAACCTACTTGATCCAAATGACAGCTGAATAAACCTTCCAGCAGAGCTGACCAGGGACAACAAATTTACAAGTTCAACTTTAAGCTTTCATATTTTCACTGTTTTTTCCTCCAAAATTCAGTCAGCAAATGAAATGATGCACACAGCCAAGGGTATACTGGATGCCTGCCTTACTAAATATATTTTCTAATTAGCACTGGTATTAGCTGGCACTTTTTTAAAAAAGCAATCTCATCTAAGATGCCAAACATTTAATGAGGAAACTGAAATATAATCACATTGTGAAAGATTATAGAGTAGAATAGAAATATATCCCATTATATTATATTATATTATATTATATTATATTATATTATATTATGTTATGTTATATTATATTATTACACACACACAATGTAACACAATCATACAGCTTTTGTTGGTAAATTTGATTTAGACATTATTATTTTAAAAATACAAGTGATGTGCTAATCATAGTCATGTACTTAAAACATTTTTTATTTTATTTTTTGTGATTTTAGTGGGATCTACCACCATGTAAGCACAGTCATACCTTGGTTCTCAAACGTAACCCATTCCGGAAGTCCGCTCAACTCCCGAAACTGTTCGAAACTGTTCGAAAACCAAGGCGCAGCTTCCCATTGGCTGCAGGAGCTTCCTGCACTCAAGTGGAAGCCACGCTGGACGTATGGCTTCCAAAAAACATTTGGAAACCGGAACACTTCTGGGTTTTGAGCGTTCGGGAGCCAAAACACCAAGGCGTTCGAGAACCAAGGTACGACCGTACTTACATTTGCAGTCTCCAGATGGTCTCTCTGTTTCAACACGGAGCCCTGAATGTGTAGCAGTCCCTTTCTGTAGGCCTTTGCACCTGTTTGCACATGCACAGTGTCATGGCGCCTCAAAGCCTTACTCACCCGCAAGTTCTGTATGGTCTTTTCGTCTCTATCATCATCTCTGTAGAACTTGCCGAGAACGACTTTGATGTCTGCTGCTTTGAGAACCGTGACCTTCCCCAGATTGGTGACGCAGTGGGCTGCCACCACGACTGTGCGCTCGTTTAGAAGGGCCCCGCTGCAAATCAATATCCAGGCCCCTTTTCTGTGACTGGGAACCTTCACCCCATTGGGCCTCCTATAGATGGCTGCTTGCCACGGCCATCTGGTTGAGGATGTTTTTGGAACAGTGGTGTTTTCTGCCTTTCCACAGACTGTCATAAAAGGGAGATAAAATTATTATTGCTGCTGTTGTCTTGGTTTTTCTCTAAGGTATTATATGTTTCAGAGGCTTCTTACTTGGGATGCATGAAGGAGCTCTCCCGCTCCACTTCCCTGTTTTCAGACAGGTTCTCCGGCTGCTTCCCAAACGACGATAGAAAGGAGAAATGCAATCATACTGAAGCTGTGTGTGAAGATGCTGGAACCCTGGAGGTAGTTCTCCAAATGGTAGTAATGGTTTTTTGGTTGGGTATACGTCCAGCTTCTGCTTGTTAAATGTTGACGAATAGAGCCGATGCAAAGGGGTTTCCCTGTTTCGATGCATAAAGAACATAGGAATATCACCCAAAACCTGTCATCACAGTGTTTTATGGCACATATAAGCAAATGTTTAATGCAGGCATAGCCAAACGTGGCCATCCAGCTGTTTTGGGACTACCATCATCCCTGACCACTGGTCGTGTTAGCTAGGGATGATAGGAGTTGTAGTCCCAAAACAGCTGGAGGGCCAAGTCTGGCCATGCCTGGTTTAATTGGTACAATTCAGATAAACTGTGTATGTGCTTAAACCCTACCGAAGTGATTTAATTGCGTTCTTGTAGCCAATAGATTTCATTGCTCAGAATCCAGCTCAGAGCTGGATGTGCAGTGGGTTTAATTAACTGGGCTAGATTGTGGCAAGTGGATCTAAAATTCTTTGGAATGTGTCCAGAAGGGATCACCAACTTTTTTGGGTGAGTGGGCACATTTGGAATTTTGAGAAAGTGCCATGGATTCCAAAATGGCTGCTCAAAATGTATGGTCATGCCCCACTGGCGGGGTAGGGACAGACATTCAAGTGCTGGGAGTTGTGTGTGAGGATCCTTTATAAGCTTACAGCTGTGAGATGGTCCTGAGCAGGCTTCCTCAACCTCGGCCCTCCAGATGTTTTGAGACTACAATTCCCAGCATCCCTGGCCACTGGTCCTGCTAGCTAGGAATCATGGGAGTTGTAGGACAAAAATATCTGGAGGGCCAAGGTTGAGGAAGCCTGGTCCAGAGCTTACCTTTAAAATAAATCAGTCAATTTATCATTAAAAGTAGGATCTCGGAAGATCCTCCCCACCATTTCATCTCTTAGGTTTCACTATCAAAGCTGCAACAGATCTATCAGCAATCCATAGGAAAGTCCTGAGATGTCTCACCTGTTGCATTATTAGTTACAGTGCTTACTAATACAACATCTGTGACCATCTCTGCCTATAGTATGTATTGTCTTGTGGGTAACTTCATCAGTTTGGATGTCTATACCCAGGGTACCCCCATCCAACTAGCAACCATTATTTCTGGAACATCAGTGTTGTTCGTGCAAAGCATTTGGTAGGATGCCCAAACAAGCTAGGACACATAGGAAAAAGGTATCAACATTGCTCATTAACACTGTAGTTAAGACATTGCAATCTCACCTTGACTGAACCTGCATAGGGAGTACTTTCTGTCTCACCAAGTCAGAGATCTTTGGCTCTCTGCAAGCTAGGGGGAAAAAAATACAATGTTCCACAATGCTTTTCCATGCTCAGAACTTGAAAGTTATGTTTCATATACCTGTCCATCCTTTCCTTTTCCGAATAGCAATGTCTCAAGATGAGAGGCAATCAGTATACAAAATAGCGGCACCTGAATTTTCTTTTCAAAGCAGCTACCATATTTTTCCATGTATAAGACGAGCTCTATTTTTGAGCCCAAAATTAAGAAATAAATATTTTAAACATTCTGTGTATAAGACGACCCCCAATTTCAAACTTTTAAAAATTGGGAAAAAGCATAGTCTTATACATGGAAAAATACGGTATTTTCAGAGAGAAGTTTAGCCATGCATTTTAAATGTATGTACATGTTAAAATACTGTAAACTAGCTTGAGTTCTAGATCAGGGATGGAGAACTGGTGGCCTTCCAGATGTTACTCGACTACAACTTCCATCAGCCACAGTCAGCATGGCTAATTGTCAAGGATGATGGGAGCTGTAGTCCAATAGCAATTGGGCAGGTCAGAGGTACCTCCCTTTATTTGGATAACTATATGTTAGAAATGACACCTTTGGTTTTTATTTATACTTTTCAAGTTTATACATTTCATTAGTTTCACAATCAATTTAACATTTCAAAGTTTGACTTCCTTCCCCCTCTTTCTGCGGTTCTTTAAATTTATTTTTTTATTATCTTCTGCATATCCAGATTCATTTAATTTACTCATTTAGTTATCTACTTTGAATATATACATATACTCTTATGAAACTGCAGGTTATTGCAATCATCCTACCAGTGTTCTTATCTGTAAATATTCAATCAACCATTTCCATTATTTTATAAAAGGTTTGTTATCTTGATTTCTTATTCTTCGGGTAAGTTTTGCCATTTCTGCATATTCCATAAGTTTTTGTATCCATTTTTCCTTTGCTTCTTTCCACTTTGGGGCGAGTAGTATTCCAAGTGACACATTTGGATCCAGACTAATTGTGAAATCCACTGAATGCTTAAGGTAAAGATAAAGGTACCCCTGCCTGTACGGGCCAGTCTTGACAGACTCTAGGGTTGTGCGCTCATCTCACTCTAGAGGCCGGGAGCCAGCGCTGTCCGCAGACACTTCCGGGTCACGTGGCCAGCGTGACGAAGCTGCTCCGGCGAACCGGCACCAGAGCAGCACACGGAAACGCCGTTTACCTTCCCGCCAGAGTGGTACCTATTTATCTACTTGCACTTAAGGGTGCTTTCGAACTGCTAGGTGGGCAGGAGCTGGGACCGAACGACGGGAGCAAACCCCGCCGCAGGGATTCGAACCGCCGACCATACGATCGGCAAGTCCTAGGCGCTGATGTTTTACCCACAGCGCCAGCCGCGTCCCTACTGAATGCTTCCTGAGAAGTAAATCCCACTGAGCTCTATGGACCTTACTCCCTGGTAAGTGCATATAGGATTGCAGCCTAGTTACATTCAGTTCCCATTGAAATAAATGGGATTTAAATATGACTTCCTTCCAAGTATATATAATGAAGATCACACTGATAAAGAGATGGCAGAGTGGAAAGCAAGAGGCATGAACCTGGAGGGAAGTCTGGAAGGCAAGTGAAACTTTGGCACAAGAGTCAATGCCAGAAGGCAGACAAATACAGTAAATGCCAACAGTTGCCTAGACAATGGTAAAGGTTGATCTGGAAGACACTATAACCCTACCAGTCAGTGGAAGCAAATGTTGGTAGGGTCACCGGAGAATAAGAAGATAACTGAGCCATGGAACCTCCTTACCTGTAGCCCCCCATGACTTACCACTGAAAGCCATCAAGTACAAACCAAAAGTGCCCCATCTTTAGGTTCTGGTGCAAACATTTTGCAGAAAATGAGTTTTTGTCATTTCTTGTGCATATGTGCACTTTAAAAACCTAGAAATACACATCTGCTGGAGTAGATTCTAACTTCACTGAGAGCAGTGGAGGATGATTGGCAAAAACTGTCTGCCTCTGCAATGGGTGCCAATCCATCCTTGTATTGATATTTGCCATGAAGCAGCTTGTATCTCATTATGTCTCTGCTATAAAACTAAGCCAATGTAAAAAACAACAAATTGTTAGTTGTCATAAAAGGGATTGTAAATTACCTTTAATGCAAATTGGCTGTTTTCCTGACCATTCTCCATTATCTTGGCAGGTCCTTTGCTCATTGCCACTGAGAACATAGGAGTTATTGCAAAAGAATGTAATGACTGCTCCAATTTTTGCATACCGGCCGTTCATCAATGCAGTACCGTCCATCATTTTCTTGTACCCATTGAGTGGAGCACCAGGATCAGAGCAGTTTCTATCTTCTGTGACTAACAGCGAGGGGATACATTTTATTTTCCATGCAGAAAGTATTAATCCTGACCATCAGATCATTCCACAGTTTATACACTTATTGTACACTGCCGTGCATATTATTAACTTTCCTTTTATGAACATTAAAGAAGTAGTAATTGCAACTGCAAAATAACACTACAGGTATAAACAGTTTGATCTGATGAAATCTAATTCCATTGAGCATTGCAATGAAGTCACTTCAAGCTTTAGCCAAACTAGGTGTGCTCTCCAGATGTTTCAGACTTCCAACTCCCATCAGCCCCAGCCAGCACAGCTGTGTTGGGGCTGATGGGAGTTGTAGTTCAAACATTTCAAAGGACACCAGGTTGGCAAAGGTTGTTCCATTGGACCATTGCATTCCATAGTTGCATCCAGCAAGTGGTAAACCAAAAATCAAACTGCAAAAACTAAGGATAGAAGTTCTCTTTCCACAGTTCATCCACAAAACTGCACAGTTTGCAACAACATTGCCGTTTGATTTATTACTGCTTGACTGGCCATAATAATAGCAGATTAATGTGGAACCAGATCAGACTTGTGAATGCACTCATGCAAAATTGACACTGGGTAGTAATCCATCCATTTTTAGAGGAGTGCTCACCATCTGATCAAGAAACCTGTTTTTTATGCACATGAATATACTGGAGCTCTTTCTGGCCTTAGCATGTGGCGTGTTCATTATCACCTGTCTCTGCTCCCCAATTACTATCTCAGTGGGGCTCTCATTTCTCCGGGTTGGCACTCAAGCCCAGAGCCCCAGAGCTTCAGCGACTCCTGAAATGTCAAAGGCAGTGCCGCATACACTGGCTGCAGCTTATCATAAAGAGAGATTTGGAAAGGAAAGAAGTAAATTGCTCTTTTTATTGCACACAGGCAACTTGGGATGTGCCACATAACTGCTGGTGGCCTTGGAGGAAAGTGCTTTAAAAGCAATGGGAGACTTACTAGAGTTTGAGGAAGGTGGTGGCTGATGGAGAGGAGGCAGGATAATGGCATATCCTGCTGAGCATGGAGAAACAGGGATTCACCTACACACAATATGGCCAGTGTATGAGTTTTCCATCATGAAACTTAAATGGAATATTGTAAGAATCTCGAAAATGGCCTGCCAGATGTGCGGCTCGGATTTGTATCCAACTATTCAAAATGGCACTTCAGCTGTTTTCCAGCCATTTCCAAGGAATGCATGCTAGTTCTGACTTCAAAATTCCAAGTTAGCAAATAAGGGCTGTGCACCTGTACATTTGGACTGGTATATTTGTTAGGCTTTTAAAGAAGTGCCACAAGCACAAAAGTCTCTTTGGCATCCAGAGTACAGCTGTCCGTGGCAGCAGTGACCCAGTCCTGTTTAAGCCTTGTCCCAAGCTTGAAGAAGAGACCTCACAATACCCTTACCCTTACCCAGAATCCCTTGCCAAAAAGAGCAAAGAAATAGTTGGATGGAATGTTTTCATTTTTCTTTCAGGCAAAGGCCAATTTTACCCTCAGTGGGGAAGGAGAAAAGCATCAGCCACAACATACAAAAAATTGAAAATGGTTTCCTTGTATCTCTACCAAGGGCAAGTCCTTCCTTTAAGGAAGAGCAGCCGATGCCAAGTGAAGCAAGACGTTTTAGGAGCACAGGCAAAAGCCTGCCAGGAGCAGGCACTCGTACTCGCTGTAATAACTGGAAGTCACTACAAGCACATTGAGGCTTCTCTACAGGTAGCCTCTTATTAAGAGGGTCCATGTGAATGAATGTCACACTATTAATTCGTCAACCTCAAAATAGCGTGTTGGCTTTGCTGTTAATTAGTCTTAAAGGAAAATAATAATGGAACAATGGTTGAAACTTAATAAAAAATGTAAAGCATCCTTACCACATTCAGAATGATGTTTTGACCAGCTCCCATCTAGCTGACAGTCGGCAACACGGCTGCCTTTCAATGTGTAACCTGCGTTGCATTTGAAGTAAACCTGGGACCCGTATTTAAAGTCATCTCCTTCCACAAAACCATGAGCAGGAGCACCTGGAGTCCTACACATCACCACTGACAGTTCAGATATTTCAAAAAAATCCACTTTATTACAAAAACAGGGCTGTGTTAAGTTGATTATTTACTTAGAATGTAATAAAAATATTAAGAAGGAAGAGATACAGAGACAAAAAAAAATCAAAATATTGAGACTGCTGTACATAATTCTTTTTTATATAAAAAAGCACACACTTCATTCCAATCTACCAAATTCCTGACGTATCTTTCATCTTAAATACTACCACCTAAGCAATCCGATTAGTTACTTGACTTAAAGCATGAGTATACAAGTACTTGCAGCAGTAGGCCCTTAGGTTTTCTGTACTCATCTGTGACCAGGTTCGCACGACACACTAAGCAAAACCATGGGTTAGCGTGATACCACTGGCTCCCAAGGAAATCACAGAAATTTTGCTCCATCCCAGGCTCTTTAAGTCACTGAGGTGTGGCAGCTAAGCCATGGTTTTGGCTTAGTGTGTTGTCCAAACCCAGAACCATGGTCAAGGACTCTCCTTAGCCATGACTGCAACCATAGGACAAACCTTGGAAAAACTATGGCTTAGTTGCCATGTTATATTGATGTAAAAAGCCTACTTGTAACAATGCTACATAGGGCCACTGCTCCAGTGAAGAGGAACAAGGTACCTGCCCCAGTTGGTGGGTCACCATCAAAGGGCAGCAAATGCCAGCCATTTCATATGTTTATTAGCAACAGCCGTAAAGGCCATCACATGCCAGAAGTTCCTGGACTAGCCCTGTATGCTTTATGACTTTGCTCCCATCAGAGTTTTCAGGTTCATATTGGCTGCCTTGTCATTCTGCCTGATGAAAAAGCAAACGCATTGAGGACCTTTTCACCCAGTAAAATGGGGGAAACACATGCTGTCTTGTAACCTATTGTAAGCCCCTTCCTTCTCTAGAGTGTTTCCTGCAGTTTCTCTACAGCTTGATCCTTTTTCTGCCTCATTCCTGCTTTGTGCAAGAAAAGCTCTGAAGCTGGTTTTGAAATGAGTGCTGCTACCTTGTGTGTTTTATAGGAAAGTTTTCTTTCATTGTGTGAATGGTTGCCTGTTGGGTACATGAACCTGATTGATTTTTCCCCTCTTCAGATTCCACTGTGCATTCAATAGAGTTTTAGCCAAGGACAGGATCCTTTATAAGATATATTTTTAAAATGCCTTTTAAGAGTGTCTCCCGCCTTCAAGGCCAATTTAACCTTTGCAGCTGCCTATGTGGCTCTAGCTGGAAAGAGGTTTCAGAGAGAGAATGGAATAGTGGAACATTCAGTACATATCTCCACTTGTAATGACCATATTCTGCTGGGGTCTGATCCAAATGGGAGAAGTCACACTCAAATCCCTTTAGAAGCACCACCAAACTCTAAGTGTTGGGTTCTCAACAATGAAAGAGTGACCTGGATGGCTGACATCTTATCCCATGCCACAAAAGAGTTACACATTGTATCATCATTTTTCAGAAAAGAATGGAAATGATCCTGTCCAAAAGGATGGTCCTATCCAACCACTACCAAGCACATTTAGGTCCCATTAATTCCAAAGGGAAAATATTGAGGGCATGCTTAACTGCCACATTAAAATAATGGGACTTATTTTAATGCTTTCTAGCATATAACTCCCAGGAACCAATAAAAGTGATGCTATGTCTGTGTCGCTGGTGCAGTCAGTTAAAGTTTGCGGAACGTTTAACTATACAAGACCTTCCTAACCAGAGTCCTTCATTATTTCTAAATATTCAGCACTGGTAGGAAATTTCCTGTGTAATACAGATTAAAAGACAAGTTTTCAGTGTTGCAGGAGAATGAAAGGCAACAAAAGTAAACCCAATTAGGTGAAGTTCAGGCAGCAGCTTCGTACAGAACCACCATTAAGTACAAATGAAGGCATTATTAATGTGAATGAAGAACATTCTGGCCAATGTCAATTTTTATATTTTCACTACATGGCATAGGAACATAAGGAAGATGCCTTTTCCTAGGCTATTAGACCGTTTATCCATCTAGACCTCCAGGGTCCTCTCTGATTGGCAGTGGATCCTACACAGGCCACATTCACATTATACATTTAAAGTGCTATGATAACACTTTAAACAGTCATAACTTCTCCCAAAGAATTCTGGGAGCTGTAGTTTGTTAAGGGTCCTGGGAGTTGTTAGGAGACCCCTATTGTCCTCAACAATTCCCAACCCTCTTCCCAGGGAACACAGTAAGACATGTGGAACCAAGCTGTATCTATCAGGCCCCATGTCATGAACATTTTGTGCTCACAAAGGGTTAGGGACTGGGCCAAAAGAGTTGTTTTGGTCAGTCCATAAAGCCCTCTTCCTGATTGATGGAGGAGTGCCAAGGCAGAAAATGTGAGGGTTTCAAAACTGTACAACTCCATGAGTGTGTGATAAGATTTAATACCATCCTTGCCTTTTTTTCTACAGGTATTCATTGATTCCTTTTTCTTACAAAATATGAACTATATTTAATACTCTATGTTATATTTATCTTCTGTGGGTATTTCTAGAACTCAAAGACAGTCTAGAATAAATGAAGACAGAGTATCTGAATTTTTAAGTTAAGTATTCTGGGTTATTAATAACCAAGAGAATAATTTCATTCCTTTCTTCCTCAATTACTTATGGGCAACATTCCTCAACTTTGAATTATTTGCCATTTAGAAATAGCTTCTATACTCAATTTGCTACGGAAAAATTGGATTACCTATTTAAAACCACTTTCTTCTTCTGCTGAACATTCCCCTATTAATCCTTTCTAAATCCCGACTGTTCTTTACCCATGTTCCATTACTTCCCTGCATAAATAAAGCCTACTTTTCTTTTTCTGGTCTCTTTCCCCTCCATTATTCATTGCTAAATAATACATAGGTTAATCTCATCCACCCACATCTCATCCATAATATATCCCATAGCTAGATAATAATTCTTTGTCTTCAGTATGACCACAGATATTGACATTTGCCACCTATACCTCTGAAATATGGCCCACAAGAGGCTATAAAGAATCTGATCTTTGTGAAGTCCAGTGTGAATTGACCTGAACCAAGCCTATCAGATTGGAATGTAGCTATCTGTGGGATTTTACACTTCTCCAAATGTTGTAGCACTGATCTCGGCTCAAAATTTTCATCATAAAACAATTCCAAATGTGTATTTTGAGAGAAAGTGTGTTTAAAACCATGCATTTGAATTCTAATGCAAGTTTTTTTCTTATAAATATTCACAGAGAAATGCAGAAATGGTATAGAATGTACAGAATGGGTGAGCACATGGAAAAGTGACTTGGATTAAAAACAGAGAGTGACCTGTCTATCGCAAATAAAATTGCTTTCATGTTTTTAGGGACAGACTTTGGTCTTTCAAATTTCAGTGGTGCGCTGTGCAAGGCCCAAATTTGGCACCCCTGCCTCTTGCCTCCCATTCTACTTAATTCACTATGTCATAGTTGTGATGCTCTGTGGCGCCCCCTTGGTTCGGCACCCAGTCTGATGGAACCGGGCGCTCTGGTCTACATCCACCTGATATTTTCAAGATATTAATATGATCTTTTAAAACATAGACTTGATTCTCGAGAAAGTTGATCTGATTACTCTGTGACTGCAGCAAAGGATAAATACTGTACACCCAGGTAGGAATTTCCAATCACAGGAAATTTCAGGATAGTCTGTCTCTCTAGAGCAGGCATAGGCAAACTCGGCCCTCCAGATGTTTTGAGACTACAATTCCCATCATCCCTGAACACTGGTCTTGTTAGCTAGGGATCATGGGAGTTGTAGTCCCAAAACATCTGGAGGGCCGAGTTTGCCTATGCCTGCTCTAGAACAAGCATAGGGCAAGGCTACCTGGAAAACAAATGCTTCCATGTGTGGCAAATGTGTGTTTGAGGCACCTCCACCACACTTTTGAGTGTCTGTCTTCACGCACACTTGGACAGTATTCCTCACTCATGCCTCGTACACAACATGGAAGGGAATCTTGTAGTGGTCACCGAGCCTCACAGTATATTTTCATCCATGGATTTAGAGTTCTGGTTTGAGCAAAACATCCTTTTCTGCAGTTATCCCAACAGCCAGGAATCACCAGAATAAAGCAATGATGTAATCCCAGCAGCAATGAAAATCTTTTCATGCCCTTCCAGCCAAGTGGAACCCACCCCAATGTCTTCCAGTTCCATGCGTCTGTGAATGAGACAGTAACTATGTGAAAGTATGCTTGGGTCAGCCACTGGGATGTATTCATCCGGAGGCAATTTGGAGGCTGTTGCTTACAACTAGCCACTTGATCTTTATCAGCATTGTTCGAATCCCTTAGAAATCTGTGTCTTTGGATACAACCTTTCTGGTTATTTGGTTAACCCATTTAATTATAGAACTAAACTCGTTTGCATATAAGACTGGGCTGAATGAAAACTATAAACGTCCCCATCAAACTTCACCTTCTCGCTCTATGCTTCTATCATTAATATTGTGAACAGGTTCCAGAAGGTATCCCTTGGTAAGCACATAGGGAACACCACAATAAATAGCTCTTAAAAGGAAGATTGTGGGGCTGAATAAAGGATGGTATTTTCTTTAAATAATAATAAAATAACAATAAACCAAATCTGTATCCTGCCCTTTCCCCACTTAGCTCAGGATAGCCTGGCTGAGACATTACTGGGCTGTTTTGTTTTGGGCTGTAATTGTTTTGGTACATCTACAAATATCAGGATTACCCCAAGCCTGCCAATCACTCCCAATCACAGCTAATCAATATTTTGTTGTTATGGAGTAAGGTTGCATGTGATTAGGAAGTATCCTGGCAATGCTATGAGTTATTATGACTTTATTGAATTGTATTCATTGTTTTGATGAAGTTGTTGTTGTTTGCTTCAAATGCTACTGTGTTTGGTATTATAAGTGACTGCAATATGTGTATGTGTGTGTGTGTGTGTGTTTTATAAAATATTTATTGAAATTTTACGATAAACATAGATTTAAAGAATTTTAAAAAAAAGTTAAACCAGCAATTACACACAGAGAGAAAAAAAAACAAAAGCTAACAAGAAAAATACCAAAAAAGAGACCTAAAAAGGAGAAAAAAAGAAAAAAAAGGATGATACAAAATACAAAAAACAGATAGCTAAAAAAATAGAGAGGGAAAAAAAGAAAAAATATTTTAAAGAAGAAAAAGTCCATTTTTCAATGTCTTTAGGCTCATTTACTTATTTCCTTGACCTCCTCACACCTCCCCTTCTTGTATTCCCGTTTACAAAATCCTTTCAGCAAATCCTTACCCTCTTTCATTTATCTTTACTCTGTATCTTAACCTATTATAACTATATATTTTCATCCATATAACTATCAATATTTACATATTCTTATTAACCTTATTACCAAAACCACTTATTTTCAGTCCAACATCATTTTAACATTCATTAATTTTACAGTATTTCTGCAAATAGTCTTTAAACTTCTTCCAATCTTCTTCCACCGACTCTTCTCCCTGGTCTCGGATTCTGCCAGTCATTTCCGCCAATTCCATATAGTCCATCACCTTCATCTGCCATTCTTCCAGAGTGGGTAAATCTTGTGTCTTCCAATACTTTGCAATAAGTATTCTTGCTGCTGTTGTAGCATACATAAAAAAGTTCTATCCTTCTTTGGCACCAATTGGCCGACTATACCCAAGAGGAAGGCCTCTGGTTTCTTCAGGAAGGTAAATTTAAATACCTTTTTCATTTCATTATAGATCAACTCCCAGAACGCCTTGATCTTTGGGCACGTCCACCAAAGGTGAAAGAATGTACCTTCAGTTTCTTTACATTTCCAACATTTATTATCGGGCAAATGATAGATTTTTGCAAGCTTGACTGGTGTCATGTACCACCTATAAATCATTTTCATAATATTCTCTTTTAGGGCATTACATGCCGTAAATTTTATACCTGTGGTCCACAACTGTTCCCAGTCAGCAAACATGATGTTATGTCCAACGTCCTGTGCCCATTTAATCATAGCAGATTTAACCGTCTCGTCCTGAGTGTTCCATTTTAACAGCAAGTTATACATTCTTGAAAGTATCTTTGTTTTAGGATCTAACAGTTCTGTTTCCAACTTTGATTTTTCCACCTGGAAGCCAATTTTTTTGTCTAAATTATAAGCCTCTCTTATTTGATAATAGTGAAGCCAGTCTTGCACTTTATCTTTTAGTTTCTCAAAACTCTGCAGTTTCAATTTGTCTCCTTCCTGCTCCAAAATTTCCCAATATTTCGGCCACTTGGCCTCCATATTGAGCTTTTTCAGGGCCTTTGCCTCCATCAGTGACAACCACCTTGGGGTTTTGTTTTCAAGTAAGTCTTTATATCTTGTCCAGACATTAAACAATGCTTTCCTGACAATATGGTTTTTAAATGCTTTATGTGCTTTGACCTTGTCGTACCACAAGTATGCATGCCATCCAAAAACATTATTAAATCCTTCTAAATCCAAAATGTCTGTGTTCTCAAGAAGCAGCCAATCCTTCAACCAGCAGAAAGCTGCTGATTCATAATAAAGTTTGAAATCTGGCAGGGCAAATCCCCCTCTTTCTTTTGCATCAATTAATATTTTAAATTTTATTCTGGGCTTCTTGCCCTGCCAGACAAATCTAGAAATGTCTCTCTGACACTTCTTGAAACAATCCATTTTGTCTAGAATTTGTAGTGATTGAAACAAAAACAGCATTCTCGGCAATACATTCATCTTTATAGCAGCAATTCGACCCAACAAGGAAAGCTTCAGATTTGACCATATTTCTAAATCCTTTTTCACATCCGACCAACATTTTTCATAATTGTCTTTGAATAAGTTCCCATTTTTAGCTGTCATATTAATCCCCAAGTATTTCACCTTCTTAACCACTGATAAACCTCCAAACCACTGTTAAACCTCCAAACCACCAAATCTCCGTAGTTAGACCTAAGGTCCAAAAGATATTTCGGAATATCCTTAAATATCTCCACTCTTGATTCATGTATTTTCAAAGTATTCTGGTAGTGCAGGCTCAATATTTTATCTCTCTCCTCTTTTGATCGAAGGGTGATCAAACAGTCTCTCACCCTGTTCTTTCTCCCTCCTCTTCCAAGTCTAAAAGCATTTACTATCTTAAAATCTTGCTTATCATCCAGTTTCCAAAATTCTGCAAATTCCTGTGTTAGAAAATCACTTAAGTTGTCTTTCTCAAGTTCAGGTACTGCCCTAATCCTCAGATTGGTCTGTTTTTCCTTCAATTCAATCATAGACAAAAGTGACTGGTGGGCCCCAAGCTGTGACTGGTGGTCTCCAAGCTGTTTACATATCGGTGTTATCTTTTCCTCCGCAGCCACTGCTTTTTCTTTTGCTTCCTCAGCTGTCTTTTGATTTAATGCAGATTCTTGCAGCAATTTTTCAATAGATTCTGTATTTGAATTTACCTTCTGCCCCAAATTGTTAATGCTTATAGTGTTCTGATCAATTTTATTTGTCGCTTCAGTAACTTGTTTACTTAATTTATCTAAGGTTTCATAAATTTTACTTAAAACTGAAGTAAATCCTTCTTCCAATGTCATACCTTTTACCCCCGCTTGTGCCGGGTCTTCCCCTTGTGGTACAGGAGGGCCAGATGCAGATGCTCTGCGCTGTTGCAATGCTGCGCTGGTCTGTTGGAGTCTAACCTTGCCCGATCTTGTTGTCTTTTCCTCCATAACACCTTATCTACGAGTCAAGGTCACTCCCACGATCAAGCTTGTTTTGCAGTGGAAAATTCCCTAGCTAGTTAAAAGTGGAAAATTCCCCAACCAATTGTAACAATTTCAGTGAGCCTCTAGGGGGACACAGTAACAGTCAGTAATAATGCAATAAAGTATCTTCCCAGCTCTTCAAGAGTCCCCCTACAGCAAAGTTAATAACAGTTTCAAGTCCAGAGTATCTCACATGCAGAGTTAGCTGTCAAAGAATTACATTGTCCGTAAATAGTGCGACTCTCAAAATGACAGTTCTATTAGTCTTGGCAATCCGTTCCCAAGGATTGAGTGGTGGTTTTATATCCCTTTTTTGTCCTTCTTTTCCTTCCTCTTTTATTTTTTAACAGGCAGAAAATACTTTCCCTTCTTCCCTCCCCTCTCAATTCAGGGAGGGAGTTCTTTTTATTTGACGTTTGGGCTTGAATCTTTTAACGCACCTCTCCCGGTCTTAGCTTAGTCAGTCTTTGCTTTGATCTATATACAAAACGGAAGGTGGACTTCCTGTTTACACCTTACCGCTTCGGTGCCAAATTAGACCTTCTTTGTCCTTTAACTTCCAATCTTAAAGCTTGACCTACTCACGGATTGTTGTTTAATAGCCGAATTGTCACAGGAAAAAAGGTCAGCGCTCTCCGGCAACAGCTGCGCGGCTTCACTCCACGGAAGTAGCAATCGACTCTCAGCACCGCGTCAAACCCCCGTTTCGCTCCGGAGCCCCTCGCAGGGTTCCCTTGCAAATTGGGGGCGTGCTGAAGGTGCCCGCCGAGTCCCACGGTCACAGGCTTCACCCGCCTGTGGTTTTCGATGGGGTCCCCGCTTTGCCGTAGCGGCAAGACCCGATTTCCGAGGAGCTATTCCCTCGAGACTAGAGGGAATCCGCCATTGCCGATGGCGCCGCCTCCAGAAGTCCCCTCAATATGTGTGTGTTTTAAAGCTCATGTGGTTATTGTAAGCTGCTTTGAGCTCAACATCTGCTGTTGGGAAAGCGGAATACATGTATAAAATCAAATCAACCCTCTGAGATGCACAAGTGGTGTCATTTTGGTTGTGCATCGATCCACGTTTGCAGAATGCATTTGTCATTAGTATAAAGGATTTAGGGTGGGGGGAGTGATTAGGAGAGGAGAGCAACATCCCTAGCTGAAATAACCCTGAGGTGACATTATTGAAACACCCCATACTAGACAGACTGCAGTTTGGCTGCTTTGTTTGGAAGCAACAGACACTTCTGAAGACATGAGCCCCTTACAACAATCCAATCAGGACATAACCTGAAAAACCACGGCCAGATCCAGTTCCTTGGTTGGGGCATCAACAGAATTGCTACAAGTATGTACCTTTTCCTACCAATAATATTTAAGCCAACAGCTGAAGTTCATTAATAATCACAGCAACAATAGAAATAATGCAAATATGTGGAGGGAAGCCACCATATGCCTTAATTCAAGGTGACATGGTGAGTCAGTAGCAGAGCTGTGAAAGCTGAATTTTCCCCTCTGCATTGTTCTGCAATTCCAAATACAGAATTGGAGCCTAACCTTCCTGACCGCCAACACACACACACGCGTGCGCGCGCACACACACACAGTTTGCCTAATGACATTTCCATCAGCCTGCATGATTTGCCACAGTTTCAGTAATTCTGCCCTGCTTTCCTTTTCAACAAATTCATCTCCCAGATTGCAACGTGATATATTAAGCAATATACCTTATGCTGCATTTTGCAATGCCAAGAGGTCATCAAATTTTATTTCACTCTGAAGATTTCAGGAGCAACCTTGGCTGTCATTTTCAGAGTCCACGCATCCTTGTTCTCAGCTCATGGATGAGAAGCTCAAAAGGAAAGGGATTAAGTAGGACCTCCATTACACGTTGCTTGGTCTTTGAGGTACTGGTCTCAGGGCAGCAGTCAGGACATAGGAAGTTGTCATATACTGTACTGAGTCAAGTCAGACCACTGGCCAATCTAGCTCAGTATCAGGAGTGCCAGCTTGGCCCCATGACTGTGGATGCACAGGGTCATGGGTGCCATGTAGTGCATGGCCCTGGCACCAAAATTTGTGGATGCCCGGCCCCTTCATGGGGAATTTTGTGGGTGCTTGGGCACCCAGGGCCCCAGGGAGCTGGCACCTATGCTCAGTATTGTCAGCAATGACTGACAATGGGTCTCCAGAGTTTCAGACAGGAGGCACTACAGAGGAGGATTTAGGGCAGTGCAGCCAAAGAGGATGCTTTCTCAGACCCCGGTAGGCTTGTCCAGCTTTGGGAAGGAGGTGTGAGGGGTGTGACAGGGTCCTGGAGTCCTCCTTCCTCCTTCCCAAAGCCGGGCAAGCACCCCTCAGCTACCACTTCATTGACGTCAGCAGGTAGATGGTGTGTATTGAATTTGCACTTAATGCTCCCTACTTCTCAATCCTGTTTGTAGATAAAAGGTAGAGGGACCCCTGACCATTAGGTCCAGTCGTGGCCGACTCTGGAGTTGCAGCACTCATCTCGCTTTATTGGCCGAGGGAGTGGGCGTACAGCTTCCGGGTCATGTGGCCAGCATGACTAAGCTGCTTCTGGCGAACCAGAGCAGCGCATGGAAACGCCGTTTACCTTCCTGCTGGAGCGGTACCTATTTATCTACTTGCACTTTGACATGCTTTCAAACTGCTAGGTTGGCAGGAGCAGGGACTGAGCAACAGGAGCTCACCCCGTCGCAGGGATTCGAACTGCCGACCTTCTGATTGGCCAGTCCTAGGCTCTGTGGTTTAACCCACAGTGCCACCCGCGTCCCTGTTTGTAGATAGCGCACCTCTATATGCATTGCTTGGGAATTCAGTCTGATAACTTCACTAGTATATAATGAACAATTGCATTCTGAAAAGGTTGATATGGTGGGAATGAGATGCTGTGTGAAATGTATGCAAAATGTAGACCAGTAGGGCGATATATTTTTGGAACATTTCAAAGTGCCTTAGGCAGGGCATGCCAGTGGCGTAGCGTGGGTTGTCAGCACCCGGGGCAAGGCAAGTAATTTGCGCCCCCTAACCAGTGAGCCATATAGGGGCAGAGAGCTGCGAGTGCGAGCGCGCACCCCCAGATGTTGCGCCCGGTGCGGCTGGCCCCCCCTGCACCCCCCACGCTACACCACTGGGGCATGCCACTAATCCTCACAGATTTGGCATGTGATTTATTCCCTACCACACACTGAATCCCTGACAGCGCAATCCTATACTTTTCTGCTCAGGTGAGTCCCATTGAGGTTTACATTCAGGTAATTCTTGCAGTCTAATCCTATATACATCTTTTCAGAAGTAAACCCCATTGCTTTCAATAGGGCTTGTTCCCAGGTGTATATAGGATTTCAGCCTTATTCATTTTTTTAAACAAACAAACAAAAAGATTTTCCTCTGTCCAGTATTAGGAAGGCATGTTCAATATTGGCACTCAGTAATTTCAGGTAATCACATGAACATCTCCCCTTTATCAGTGCAGCAACATCATAGCAGTAGTCTCACAATACTGACTCTGTAAAGATTATTTTCTCTCTTTAAAACAAACAAACCAGAAACAACAACCATGTTCAATACCCTACAGAGAGCAGCTGTTTCTACTTCTCCTGCTGCCAGAGGCTGAGAGGGTGTCCCTTTTAAACACATGAGTCAGTCGGCAAAGACAAGGAAGCCCTGAAGAACTGTCTTTCTGAAAACCTTGTGTGTGGCTGAGCAGTGGCAGTGGGCAGGAGTCAAGCACAGGGGAATGACCAAGAGAGCACTTTCACAGGCCTATCCTGGAAAAAAGGGGGTGATGCTGGAACGATCGAGGAGCTGCTAGTGATAGCACAGTACACCACAGTTTAGCTCAATGGAGCACCCTTCATTAGGATGCGGGAGAAGTGTCAAACGGCTGGCAAGGGAGACTGGGAAGCCGTAAAGAAATGGAAGTTGGATCTAAGCAATGAATTCCCCATTCAATACAAGATCCCAGCATTTACTCAAGGACTTGAGCTTGCTGGGCTTTGTTTCAGACAAAGGTGACAGGAAGTCTCAGAGCAAAAAGGGGTCAGAGTCCCTCGCTTAGAAGGCCAGCAATTCCCTGGGAGGCCCACTGAGCCAGAATGCTCTGCACCCCCTGAGAGGAACACAGTACACAACTTGAAAGGGGGGAGGGGAGGGGGAAAAACCATTTCTAGCCTGGTCAAAGAGAGGCTGAGCAAGGATAGGACTGTATTCCACATATACATAACAGGGGTTAATAAAGCAGCGGGGTGGGGGAAGAGAGCATTTATGCTAAAGTTTTCCAAAACTTTGGCTACTTACAGCCTAAGTGTCCAATCCGACTGTGGGTGGAGTTTGTTAAATTGCTAGGAAAATACTTTGGGTTGGATTCAGACTTCAGCTGCATACACACAGCTGCTTTCCCAATGATAGAAAAAGGCACTTCCGGAAAAATACCAAAATATAGTAGAAATGTAGCTCTCATTTCCGTGTTATTTACTTCCAGAAAAAAAATATCCATTTGTAAATAATTTTGAAATGAAAGCTAAACCTGCACTATATTCCACTGTATTTCCAGAAGTGGCTTTTATGTCAAGTGAAATCTAAAAGATAATTAAGAGTTAGGAAAACAGGAAAATGGAATAAACGACTGTGTGAATGCACCCTTTGTCATACTTATTATTATTATTTTTTTAAAATAATCTTTATTGCTTTTAAAACTTACAAGAAAAGAAAAAGGAAGAAAATAGGCGAAAGAAAAAGACAAAATAGAACAGAGAAGAAAAAAAAGAGAGAGAAAAGAAAAACAATACAATAAACAATACAAAACACAACCTTAACACATTAACCTAAACAAAGCAAAAATACAACAATTTAAAAACATATACCATACCATTTCATTACTCTATCTTTCATTCCCTTATTTCATTGACCTCCTCTCACCTCCCTTTTTGTATTCCACTTCTATTACTTGTTTCAGCAATTCCTTTCCATCTTTCTCTATTTTTATCATTATGAATATCTTAACATATTTTGTACCTTATTTTCCATTAATACTGAAATACTTAATTATACCTAACTCCTTATAACATTTCTGCTAAAGCCATAAAATTTCATTCCAACAATTTTCTAACACTCATTAAATTTACAATATTTCTATATATAAACTTTAAACTTTCCCAATCTTCTACCACCATCTCTTCTCCCTGGTCTCGGATTCTGCCAGTCATTTCCGTCCATTCCATATAGTTCATCAACCTGGAGATCTTCTGTCCGAGGCTCTTAAATCTTTTTCAAGTCCCTTCTGCAGTTTTTATTCATATTCTTTGATACTGAGGGTGCTGAAGCGCAGGTTTTGGGGGGGCAACGATCCAACCATGCCCCCATTCCCTCTCGACAGACCAACCAACTCTCCACAGCTAAAACCAGTGTCCATACAATGTCTCAAATCATGTTTCAAGGCTCCTCCAGATCCAAAGGCCCCCACAACTCCAATCACCTCCTCACCCAGATTCAGGACCCAAGGGTCAGTAAATCTCTGCTTGAAAGAGTCTATCCAACCTTCCTTCTTCAATCCAAGCAGGGCTCCAATCTTCAAATTCTGACTTTTTCTATATTCATTCATAAAAGGCCTCCACTTATAGTCCTCAGTTTGCCTCTGTAAAACTGGGGCTTCCACTTGTATTATTTTAGGTTTAACAACACCAACATTCTCCTTCGTCTTCTCCCCAGTTTGTCCTGTCAAGGTAGGTTCCTGTGTCAAATCCTGAACAATTTCTGTATTAATGGTCACTTTTTGTTCCAAATTAGTCACTTTTTGTCCCAAGTTCTCAAGTTTGGTATTCATAGCGTCCGTCTTCTTGTGGAGCTGTTCCAACGAATAACTTATCTTACATAATACAGTCACTAAGGCTCCTTCTGTCAACATTCTTAAAGTCCAAGGTCAATCTCTATTTCACACAGTTCTTATCTTGCGACTGGAAAACCCCCAGCTCCACTCTTGTAACAGTTTCAAAAGCTCCCTCTAGAGGGAAACAGTCTCCACTTGTATCAATCCTTTCAAACACAATTTAAACTATAAAGTTAGTTTCTTTTCCCACTTTTTAAACGCAGATGAGTACAATGGAAACAATATATTTCTCTTATTGCTAGCCGTCAAAAAAGTCACTCTTTCTGGCAGCCCGTTTCCAGGTTCGGAGCAGTGGTAATTTGGTTTTTCACTCTCTCCTGCAGGCTCACTAGGTCCAAAATTTCCCCCCTCTTCTCCTGCTTCCAAGGGGGGTTTAATAGTTTTAACCGATGGAGATTTAATCCTTTACAAAAATAAACTTTCCAAGGCTTTAACTTGCAACTTCTTTGCTTCAATCTGTTTACAAAAAAGGAAGGCGGACTTCCTGTTTAGAACCTTCCCGTTTCGATGCCAAATTAATGAATTTAAGAATCTAATTTTCCGTTCTACTCACGGGTAGTTGTTTAGAATCCAATTGTCCACAGGAAAAAGTCAGCGCTCTCCGGCAACAGCGATGCGGCTTCACTCCGTGAAAGAAGCAGTCAATTCGAAGCACCGCGCCACTCACCCCACTTCGCTCCGGATCCCCAAATCAGGGTTTCCCCGCGAGTAGGGGGGCGCAAAAGGTGCCAGCCGAATCCCAAGTTCACAGGCTTCTCCCGCCTGTGATTTCAGTGGGTCTCCGCCTTCGCCGTGGCGGTCAGACCCTAATTTCCGCGGAGCAAATTCCTCCCGATCGGAGGAACTCCGCCATTGCCTGGAGGCGCCAACCCGGAAGTCCCCTTTGTCATACTTAAACACACTGAAATCAATGGGACTAACTTAGATCTGGAGTCAACTTTTGCTTGAGAGCCTGGCAGGTGGGGTTCGTGTTAATAGTCACAGTCCAACTGATATATCTGTAGGTGGAGGGGTCCTACTGGTAAGTTTGGCAAACAGTCCTGTACTCTTCTCTTATCCTTCCTCAGGCTGTCCAGCAGGGGTTCAAGCAAAGAGCAGAACAACACAGGCCTTGTCCACACACACATTTAATGTGCATTTGCAGCTCCTTCCCCACTGCAAAGAATTTGGACCTCATCCACCTGATACTCCCCTTCACCAGTCCCCTTACCACTTCTTCCAATTTATATTTAGAACTGTTTTGAATTTGCAGCTGCTCAGTCCACATACGGTTGCACTAGCCAACTGTGCCAGCAACTTTCCATCTTGTTGCAGCCCTTTAAGCACCAGTTTAGTGCACTTTAGTTATAAATTACAAAGCCCATTGTCTGGCTATAATGATAATGGAGACAGACGAGATCTAGCTGCAGCGTCTAATAGTTTTCTTTTACATCTAGGGATTGAGGCTGGTGGGCTAATTAGGATGAAAATTAGCCCATCCAATTTGCTCTATTAATAAAGGACTGTGCATCACTTGAATAAGGGGGTGGGGAGAATTCATTGAGATCCGTCCGTAACGCTAACTATTCATGCAATTTAATTTGACAGAAGTTTAGTAAGCACAGAGAAGAATCAGGGGAACCCAGTGCTTTTTTTCTGGAGGGACGCATACCCCTAAACATTTTGTGAAACTAACAGGAGAAGAAACTATTTTAGAAAATGTTTAGCTTCTTCTCTAGCATGGTGAATCATCAGTTCTGTTGCTACCCCTGATGGCAGCCTCATTTCCTGTCACGGTGTTTCCTGAGTCTCAGACAGAAGCGAGCGTTTAATGTGTGAAGCTGTGTGGAATGTGGATGTGTGGTGTTTTACTTATGAAAGTTTGGCCTCATTGAGGAGTAGTATTTCAATATGAGTAATGCATGTTCTTTGTACTTTTGTCCATTTACTGTATTTATTTTCCCCAATTTGAACTATAACATGGGGGTTTACTTGAGTCAAAATGAGAGTACCCCTAAACATTTTTTAAGAAAAAAAAGCACTGGGTGAACCAATATTGCATATGCATTACAAGAGGATGGAGATAACACCTAAGAGTGGTGGGAAGATAGACAATTCCCTAATTCCTCAAATCCACGACCAGGATGATAGCACTGGAAAATTAACAATGCAAAGTTAAGCCATTTCAGTTGTATGATCTCTAGGAGAACACTTCCATTTAGGTTGATATTGTAAAGGTGTCCTCTGCATTCTGAAGCCCTATCTGCTGAGGTAATGCAAATACCTGTGAAGCAGGACCCAATCCACCTACTGCAACTCAACCACTTTGCTTGAAGGGACAGCATCCCAAAAGGATTCCCTTGCAGTCATTGTCCTACTGCCCTTCACCCCAGCTGAAGTTCGTAGGTGGGGAAATTCCTGGGTCAGCTATGGGGCTGGTTGTGCCATCAATAGGGTGTGTAATACTTGACTGAAGGCATATAATATCCAACATATGGATGACCTCCCCTGTGTTGCCTCTGTCCTCCTCATGTCCGTGCCCTATTTCAGTCCTCTCACTGGCAGAGTATTTCGCCAGCATATCCTGGGCCATTCTGTCAGGATGTCTGCCAGGACAGCAGTTCAGCTAGCACAGTGAGCTTCATGCAAACCCTATAGCCCCTCAGCCAATGGATCGTCAGTATATAAGATTCTGCCCTCAATTTTCTCATTCCAAAAGCACTTCTTTTTGTCTGTCAGGAAACAGTCTCTCATATCAGCAGGATCTGCCTAGAGAAAAGCTACAGTATATCCGCTTCTTTCAAAGACATGGAATAAAAATGTTCCTGGCTTAGTTTTGAAAGCATTAAGGCAGACAGAAATAATTTTAGGTTCATGATTCTCCTCTGTGTATCAAAATAAAGTTGGAACTGTTTACCTATGTACTACCCAGGAAAAAAATGTTCAGGCTTTGTTTGGTAATACCGAAGGAAATTTTAAAAATGTGTGCCAGGAGTGAATTTTAACAAAAACTGCTATAATTCTAAGACATGGGTAGGCAAACTAAAGCCCGGGGGCCAGATCCGGCCCAATCGCCTTCTAAATCCAGCCCGTGGACAGTCTGAGAATCAGCATGTTTTTACATGAGTAGAATGTGTCCTTTTATTTAAAATGTATCTCTTGGTTATTTGTGGGGCCTGTCTGGTGTTTTTACATGAGTAGAAAGTGTGTTTTTATTTAAAATGCATCTCTGGGTTATCTGTGGGGCATAGGAATTTGTTCATTCCCCTCCTCAAAAAAAATGTAGTCTGGCCCCCCACAAGGTCTGAGGGACAGTGGACCGGCCCCCTGCTGAAAAAGTTTGCTGACCCCTGTTCTAAGATCTTTAGAATTTAGATAGCTGGGGGCACACCTCAAGTCTTTTAGCATCTTATAGAACAGGATGATCAATATATTACCCTCCCCCCCATGTTCTTTTGTATAAGTCATGAGGTATTCTTGTTCTTCATTAAAAATGCACTCCTTTATAGAGAATGGTATTATTTAAAATAATACATAGCTATACCCTATTTCAAGGGTTTCAACCTTTTTGGCCTGTTGGCACAACTGGAATTTTGAGAAGGTGTCATAGGTCCCAGTCACAAAATGGCTGCTGTGGGGAACTGGCAATGACAGTCACATCTAAAAGCAGAAAAGCAGATAAGAGCACAAAATGATGGTCCCACTCGCCTGACAAATTGGCCTGCAGGTGGCGGGGGTGTGGGGAACTGGCCTACCAGGTAGAAAAGCTTCCCCACCCCAACTTAGCATTATGCATGAACCCTGCCCAGCAGTTTACAAACTCTGGTTTGTTTTAATCAAGCACTCTTGCTTAAGCATGGTTTGTTGGGCAACCCCATCTCAGTTGTTCACCACAGTACAAAGGTACAAGGCAAGGGCAGTTAGAAAACAAGGCAAACTTTGGAGAAGCAAGCCATCTGTGGGACAACTCATGCTTAAATTGAGGTTTGTTAAGTAAACCATGGCTTAGTTTTATGTGTGGACCAGGCTATTCTTTCTTCAGCACCTTCCAAAGCATTATGCTTGTTATTGTTATTATCATTATTAGCCATTGTGTGCCAGTTATCAGACTCCATCAGCCTGCTGGCCTGTGTTCCTTTGGGAAGAAGAGCAGGATATAAATTTTAAACAAACAAACAAACAAACAAACAAATAAAATATTCTGTATAGCAATGCTAAGCATTAAGTGAAAACACAATAATTCAAATCAAGCGCATGTACATTCACATTCACAGGCATAGGGATGTATGTACTCACAGCTTTCACAGCGGTTCCCAGTATAGCCAGCAAGGCAAGCACATTTGTAGCCACCAATTTTATCTAGGATGCAGGTTCCGTCATTCAGGCATGGAGAGGAAGAACAAGCTGGAAAAAAGTATAAGGAGGACCATAAAACAGCTTCCTTCACCTCTTTCATCTCTTATATGCACAGCCATCCCGGTGTGAAAAACTTTTGTAAGAGAACGTATTTTCAGTGAATGTTCCTGTTTTTAAGTGGTAATATAGACCTGTGCTGTGAAGAAAATCATTTTAAAAGTTCTTCCATTTACCAGAACTTCTGACCTGACTAAGCCTTATTCTTCATGGTGAACAATATTTTTCTCAAAGACAGGGCATAGGCAGAGTGGCCTTATCTTCGCAAATAATCTAAACCTGGAACTAAAAAAGCGCAATAGACACCCCTGTGGTTTTCATATAGATCACCTGAACTTCCTTTGCCACCTGGCCCCCAAGGAACTTAGGACACAGCCAAGACTTGACCCATTATGATTTCGGAAGACTAGAAATAAATGGGCAGGAAAGAAGCCATGGAGAAGGAAAACTGTACAACCCACAGAGTTGCAATTACAGCAGAAGACCCTGCAGAGACCAAAGGATTATGAAATGTCAGTGAAGAGATCTACATGGGCAGCGAGAGATCTGAGCAGGGGCTTAATGAAGCTGATGTAAGCAGGCAGTTCCCAGCAACAGAAGTGCCAAAAGTTGAAAAACAAATCTCCCCAAATGAAACTCTATAACAGCATACTTTATAGTTTCTACAATGATTAATAAAACCACCCCTTTTTATTTTCCTTAGTTGCAAATACCCTCAGGCAGCCTGATCCTAAACATGAACCCTCATATGTTAGCTCCATTCACTTCAATGGGACTCCTGGTAAGAATGCTTAGGATTGTGGTCCTAGCCAAGGGTATCACCTGATCCCTTCTGGGCCACTGCACAGTCTTTAAGTGCTACAACCTGTTCTTAGCAATAAACAGGAGGACAGCCAAGGAAACTCTGTTCATCTTGTTACACCGATCTCGGCTACCCCTTGAGGTTTTTGTCCAGAGAAGGATTTCACACTGCTATATCTTGTTAAATTTGTGCTGCCAGAGGTCTCCATCCCACAGTCCCCCCCCCCAAGCCTCTTCACTCCCCATGCAAATCACATTCTTTCCCATAAACAGTGTCAGCGGCCTTGCAAAAGAGAGCGTTTTAAAAGCTTTTCATTTCAGCTGCACATTAGGCCAGGACAGACTAACAATAAGGCACACAATAAAGCTTCCTTCTAAAAACTGTAAGCCCTCCATATCCCACTCTGCATAGATTACCACTGTAGCAACCACCCAATCTCTAAATAATTGCTGCTAAAAATGGGGCGGAAAGAAAAGTAGATGGCAGCAGCAGAATACTAAAAGGCTCCCGCTGAGCGGAGGAAACAAGATCCATTCATTCTGCCCCGTATGGAATACGTTAGTCCCATGAGTGTGGGAGGCCTTGCTGCAACATACCCCACACCAAGTTCAATTTCACAGAGCCGACTCTTGTTTTTCCTTTTTCCTTTTTTTTAATAGGCTGCTTAATTAACACAGTGCTACTTATAGCAACTCCTGTGATGGTACTCTTTGCACTTCATGCCATAACGAAAAGAGAAATCATGATACAGAAGATCAACCAGTAAGTAAGTTGTCCAGTCTGAAGTGATAACCCCCAGTGGACTGAGAGTCAGACTTGGGAAGGTAGATGCCCATGGTGAAAGCCATATGCAACATTCCAACTCTAACATCCAACATTCCAACTCTACAGTTCTATGATCCTTACCAAGAACTTAGTCTCTGGGCTCTTCAAGATGACCTGTTTATTGAACATTCATCCTGATTTGCTCACATAATGCTTATATGGAAGCTAGACTATGTCTGGTCTTTATTGAGCATCCTTTTTGATTGGTTTATGAGGTAGTTATCCTATTTGCTTGTGGGATATTTTGGTGTCTCCCCATTAATCATCCATACCTTAAAGTGCATTTCCCCATCACTTTCCTAACTGCAGAAAGTCTGTTATTTTTAAGTGGATTTGTTGTGCCAAGGCAACAGAGCACTTTGTTCCACTGTAATGCTGCCAACCTAAATTTCCGGCACGTGCTTGAATCCCTTGCACAAAATCTGGACACACCCTTTGACAAGTAACTATTCCTCAGGCTCAATTTCCCTCCAACCTACCCTTCCCCACAAACCCACAAACCTTAGAGCTGGAAGGGGGGGGGAAAGAGGGCAGGGACTTGGAACAGCCTGGCATAGCTTTATGCACCATATATAGAGGGGAGAAATCTCAGAGGCAATCATAATCATCTAATCCCCCCTTTGTTAATTCACTGTTTTATGGCCCCATAGCAGTAAGGTTCTAACTCCTGAGATCAATTTTCAAAGGATTCTACAGCTACATACATATGGAGAGCTAAGGATTCAGAAAGGGCTTATCCACACTTACTTTTGCTCCACATTTCTAGACACAGGTCTGGGCTTTCCAGGTCTATGTCTGCATGCTTTTTCTTTTGCTCCGAATTGCCATTTACTCTGATTCAACAGTAAATATTGGGTTTTCCTAGGGAAAGCAGCAGGGCAAAAGGTAACCGTGGATGAGCCCTAAATTAGTCACATGAACAGCAAGGGGCAATCTTGCGAGTAGAATGAAACAGGACCATATTTCACACTCATTGGATTTTTTCCCCTTCCAAATCATGTGGCTAAACCACTGCAAGGGATATAGTCACACAATTACTTCAATAACTCAAGACTTTTCTTTTCACCCAGGTAGCTGTTGGGCATGCATTTTATACTTTTTCATCCTACTTACCTGTAATTTCTTCAAAGACGGCATGAAACCCATCAAAGTTCTTGGAACCATCTGAATGGAAGAGAACATGGAGAGAAGGCCCTGTGCTTCGGATTGGGAGAGGCCTGTCATTCCCACAGAAACGCTTAATTATCCTGCTATCAATGCTGTCCCCATCTCGGATCTCCACATAATCATACTGGCACATGTAGTCAAACTCCAGACTCAGCATAGCAAACCTTGGACACAAAAGGGGTGGAGTTTTTTTTGACAAATTCAGATGCCAAAATTTGCCTGTATTTCTAAATTACTTCTGTGCTCCTAAATGAGAGAAACAAGCCTCCCACCAAAGCGCTTCCTTTACACCTTCAGTTTCACAAGATAGCCTTCAAAGATAGCCTTTGCTACTGGCAAAGGCTTCCCACATGACTTAGGCAAGTAAGCAGACACTCCTCTGGGTGGGCTGAGTTTGTAACCAGTCCTGTGGCCCCAACGCTATGCCACTGCCCTGTCCTATCCCCATCCAAGCAATGCCAATGTTGGGAGGGTGGCTGCACCCCATCAATCACACCACTACAGTTGAAAACCCCTGCACTGCTGCAGTAAGGTTTCCCACTTTGTCGGAGCCAGCCGTGACAAAGTGGCGAAGTTTAGCATAAAATTATGACACAGAGAGCCAGCAATATTTTCATGATGGTAGGAGCAGCTCCTCTCGAACTTCCCTCTCCTCCTCCTGCAAACTTCTTTATTCCTTTGTCCTCTCCAGCCGCATGGCTGTTTTCCAGTGTCTCACATTACCTCATCCGGTCAAGGCTTTTATTGCCCCCTTCACCGTATAAGGTCAGTCACTGCCCAGAGGAAACACAGCTCCAATACATTCCAATACATTGTAAAGCTCAGAGTGCTGGTCAGCCGAGGTCAGGGGGCACCCTGCAATATTACAAGCCTTTACCGTGGCTTTATGACTCCCACATTCCCTCTTTCTTTACTTTATATCAGAGTCAATACGCGATAAGCGACTCTTTGACACCGGAAGCGGGCTGCGGACTGGAGAACCATGCAGTACATATAGAGATTATAGAACGAATACATTGGATACAGCAACACAAAAGAACACAAATAACTACTATAATGATCACTAAAATCAATAACTACTATAATGATCACTAAAATCCGGAAGCCAAGAATATAAGAATTCTGATTCCAAGCTGCATGGTAGGCTTCCTTTTAGTTTAATAGCCATGCACTGGTGTCACTTCTATAGCACTGAGATTTGTCACTGTATATTCCTGTAAGAGAACAAGAGCTATTAAAAGTGAAATTCAATGTATATTGACAGTTTGGATATATGCCCCATGATTCTTTCCCCTCCTTAATTTGAAAATAAATGGGGGGAGGCTCATGGAGGGTCAATTGTACTGGAGGCTTAGGGGATATAATATTAGTAAATTGAAAAGATCCATTGACAGGCACACCCTGAAGCATTTTGCTGGAATGACTGGCATACACACCCAACATTTAGAAGCATGCAATAAACTGGCAAACATAATCATATCTTGTACAAAAATATTATCCCTCCATATCTTATGATAATTTTCTCCCCTAAAAGTCTTATTCAACAACGCTGTTCTTCTAGTTCGAAAGTGGCTGAGCCGTGGATACTGCCAGCCAGAGTAGGAAGCTGACGACAGCTGCTTGCCAGCCGATGAGGTGAAATATGGTGGTTTCAACTGGACTGGTCGTCTGCTTCTCTTCCTTGTATAACGGTGCAGCAAAGGATGGCAAGGCAAATGGTGAGGAAGGCAAACACTGCCAGATGCAGCTCGTGTGCAGCACCTCTAGGTGGCGCATGCGGAAAGGTTTCAATGCTTCACCCACAAAATGTTGACAAAGTGTAGGGGAGTTCCGCATGCCTTGAGGCAGGACAATCCACTGATATCGCTGGGTGGGCTGCGAATTGTTATATGCTGGCAATGTAAAAGCAAACCGTTCCCTGTCTGCTGGAGCCAGTGGGATGAAGATGGTTCAATGTGGCCAAAAGTCAATTGTTCAGAAATAAGCTGTTCAGAGATAGCTGGTGCCGCTGCTGCGGACTTTTCTTTTGGTAGAGGCCACTGTTCTACCCACCCGGGGGTATCGGTGATCCTGGTTTGCCACACTGGAAACAAGTTGTATCGGTGGCTACAGGCTGGTTTTCATTTAGCGCTGCTGCCAGCAGATAAGCCTTGTGGCTGGCTGTTCCAACAGACTGACAAATGTGAAGCATGGCTGCTGTGCCTGTGGCAGGATTGTGTATTATTGGTCGTAACGCAAGTTTACAATCCTCATTGGCATTTTCAAAGGCCAATTGTTTGATAATTATTTGTTTGGCTTCAGGATTTTCAATTTGGTGACTCACTGCTGTAAGCAGCCTGTCCATAAAGGAAGAATATGATTCTCTTGCCTCTTGCCTGATTGAACCCCACCTTGACTGAATACTGGTGGGTTCTGGGATTTTTCTCATTGCTTGTTTAGCAGCAAGAGCAGTGTCCCTCAATAAGATTTGCAGCAGTGTGGCTTGCACTGAAGCTTGAGCGAAGGGACCACGCCCCAACATGGCATCTAAGACGTCTGCGAGGGTAACATTTGGATTATTCCCTCTGACTTGTTGTAACAAGGCTGGAGCATAAGCACGGCAGGCAGTTTCCCATTCGTGGGCAAACAAAACACCAGCTGATGGGGGCAACACTGTATGGGCCAAAAGCTTTATGTCCTCTGGAACCAAGAGCTGGGCTAATGTGGCTTCTAAAAGCGCCTGCGTATATGGGGCTTGGAGTCCATTGGCCTTTACTGACTGTTGCAGCTCTTTCAAAATCTTAAAGTCAAAAGGTTGGTGTTGGGCTTGGGTGCCTGCTGGAGCGCCAGCAGGGGGCACAATAACAGGGAATGCCATAGTATCCTGAATTAAGGAAGAGGCAAGGACTGCACGTTGAAAAGCTTCTGGTTCTGGTTCTGCCGCTGAAAGATTAGGATCATTGCCAGCCAGACCATGGTATTTTTGCAGGATTGGGTCCTCAGGTGAGGAACTGTAGTCCGGAGGTTTGGGGTCTGGAGGTTTGGGGTCTGGCAAAGCAAGTATTGGAACAGTCTCTAACACAGCAGGCTGAATTAAAGAAGCTGAAGGTTGTGTTGGCAATGCAGCCATGGATATATTTTTTGGTGATAAAGAGTCCATGGCGTAACGAACCTTGCACCATGCATTTAGAATCCGAACACTTATGCTGGGGTGCCCATGAAAATGTTCCCGATCTTGTCCCAATGTTTCAATTCCCAAGTCCCATCTGCAGGAAACCAGGGGGAATGCTCTTTGATAGTCAGAATGAGCTGTATCAAATCACCATCCGGAACTTCCAATTCGTTGGAGGAGAGGAGAAATTTTAAGTCTTTTAAAAATTTCTGTTGTGGAGCAGACAAAGAGCTGCCCATTTTTCTAAAATCAATATATAAATAAGGGATCGGAACTCACCGGGATCTTTTTAAGATGATTAGCGCTTGAAACCCTGGCCGGGCGTAGTGAGCCGATGATATCCTTTGCTAGGATCGATAAACCTCACACGGTTTCCTTTTAAAAGCCTCAGTCTGCCTCAGACTGTTTTCTTTAAGTTGCCTCTTCTTAGTCCTCAGACGTATTCTTTTATTCTGCCTCACACGGGGCACCACTTGTCGGAGCCAGCCGTGACAAAGTGGCGAAGTTTAGCATAAAATTATGACACAGAGAGCCAGCAATATTTTCATGATGGTAGGAGCAGCTCCTCTCGAACTTCCCTCTCCTCCTCCTGCAAACTTCTTTATTCCTTTGTCCTCTCCAGCCGCATGGCTGTTTTCCAGTGTCTCACGTTACCTCATCCGGTCAAGGCTTTTATTGCCCCCTTCACCGTATAAGGTCAGTCACTGCCCAGAGGAAACACAGCTCCAATACATTCCAATACATTGTAAAGCTCAGAGTGCTGGTCAGCCGAGGTCAGGGGGCACCCTGCAATATTACAAGCCTTTACCGTGGCTTTATGACTCCCACACCACTTACTCTGCCCCATGCCCCTGTGTGGGACCCTTTAAAGGCCGAGATAAATTGTGATGCTTTGAGCATTCAGTCAGGAATGCTCATAAACTCCAGTGCTCCTGGTGGGACGCATAACAGCAGGATCAAGGTGGACACAATCTTCCATGCAACCTGACCCTGACCTCATGCATCCCACACAAGTGATATAGCATCACATTCCTGCTGGAGATGCGGAGACTTGAATCCCCAGTCTATTCCTCAGTGGGAAAAGGATTCTGAGAGGACGCACAGTTGCTTCCTCCCTCTTTGCTTCTTCACAGGTAAGTTTTCTTGGGGCCAGGCACAGGGAATCACTTATCTCCTTAAAGACAACCTAACACCATATGCAAACAGCATGCTCACTGCATAATTTCTGACACAGAAAAAGAAATACAGCCAGGGTTTTATTTATCCAGCCGGAACTAGCTGGAATTCAGTTCCGGCACCTCTCAGGTAATCACCATGCCATTATAAAAGAATGAGGGAGGCATTCCAACACCTACTTTTCTAGGAAAATAGCACTGAATACAGCCATTTTTAGTCCATTAATTATGATTAATGTTAATGGTTGGGGGAGCAGAAAAACTCCACTGGAAATCCCTCTAGGTTCCAGGGTTGAAATACTAGCCTGATGGCTGAACACACCTTAAATATGTACATAAACTTGAAAAGAAGGATCTGTATGCTGAAATGCATCTCTCACCTACCTTAACTCAACAACAAAACCAGGTTTAGCATGAATAGTCCACTCACAGCGGGCATTCAGTGGATAACTCTCCAACAAGATCTGACCCTTGGAAGCCTGCAGAACCTGACCACATCCTGAAGGGCAGGGAAAGAAGAAGAAGAAGATTTATATTAGGCTCTGTGAGGGAACACAGACTCAGAAATAGCTCAGAGCTAAATGGACCAGTGGTGCAACTCAGGATAAGGCAGCTTCATATGCTCATATGTCCTAATCTGTGAGACTGAGGTGTGTTCAAACCAGGATCTGAAACTACGGCTTGTTGAGCTGACTGAGTTAAAAGCAGCTTCCTATGTCCACCTGGACAGCCACAAGATATAGATGGTGAGCCTTCTGCTCAATGTGATGGGTCAGAAGCAGTGTCTGCACCACCTCCTAACTTATAGGAAACTACACTGGGAAATCAAAAACGATTGCCCAAGGTAGAATTTAAATCTATTATTTTAGCACTGGTTTGTAATAGAATACAGTTGTGCTCTTCCACAGCTCCTGGTTATTTCAGCTTCCTGGGCAGATTGTTCCCATTGGTAAATAGTGGGATTCATTGGCATTTTGACGTTATGTCTAGGTATCAGGTATCAAAGCCTTGGCATGGCCATATTACTAGCCTCTACAACATCTTCCATGTTGTTGCTGGAAAAACATTTGGCATGCACCCAAGTATTAGGACTTCGATATGTGGCAAGACAATCTCACAAGTGTGCCCCCATAGGTTGAGACTCAGGTAAACTATCAATCCACATTAGATTTGTTCAGAACTTCTCATCTGTGTGTTCGCTGGATGAACGGGAGGAGAGGATTTACTCAGTGGCCCCACTTCCAAACCCTCTATGTCAGCAAACTTTTTGAGCAAGGGGGCCAGTCCACTGTCCCTCAGACCTTGTGGGGGGCTGGACTACATTGGGGGGGGGGGGAATGAACGAATTCCTATGCCCCACAAATAACCCAGAGATGCATTTTAAATAAAAGCACACATTCTACTCGTGTAAAAACACTAGGCAGGCCCCACAAATAACTCAGAGATGCATTTTAAATAAAAGAACACATTCTACTCATGTAAAAACACGCTGATTCCTGGACCATCCACAGGCCAGATTTAGAAGGCGATTGGACCGGATCCAGCCCCTGGGCCTTAGTTTGCCTACCCATGCTCTACGTGTTCAGAGAAGATGTTGCAAGGGAGATCTGAATGAACCACAGTTTTTAGGGTTGTAGGCAGGCTCACTGTATTTCCCATGTGTGCGGGGGGATGAACAGTGGCCTGAAAAAGCTCAGCCCATGAATGGTGCAGCTTTGTCACATCCAGCAACATGCCATGTGCCATAGCATGATATTTCCTCTTTCCTGCAAGACTCTACAGTGTTAAGACTTGTCCGTTCTAATAAAAGAAAAAAATCTCCTTTTGTCAGTTTACCCTCAATTACCCTCAATTAAGTGCACTCTGATGAAACGGAAAACAAGCTCGGAGGGGTTCATCATAAGTGTTTCGTTCCACACCAGGGCTTGTTGGTTCCTGATGTGAAAGGCTGGAGAATTAATTACTTTGCCCCCATGGCTGTCATTAAGATGCTATTGGGATATGCCAGGATCTGCCGCAACGTACATGATAATGCAGCTTCCCACAGTGGAGAGAGGAAACCTTGCCCTGTTGCTGGCTCCTACCTCAAAACAACCTGAGACAAAGCTGCAGGAAACCTTCTTCAGAAGGATTGACAAGGTCCTTGAATCACCTCAGAGAACATTCCCCTTTCGTTACAAGGGGGCTTTTGAGTTGCCTTTGTTGCTCTTGCCTTTTGACGAGAAAGAACTGGTGCAAAGAGATGTTGGCGTGCCGGGAATACTGAGTGCACCTTTCTCGGGAGAACATTACGGTCTGAACTTGCAGAAATTCCTGCCAAGGAAATAGGACTGGCCAACAAAGCAGGTGGTCCAGAGGCTAAAGAGAGAGCCATTCAAAGAGTGGCCCCAAAGAAACAGGCTCATATTTGCCACAAACATTTGCATGAAGCATAGCTGTGGTGAGATGTGGATCTTCCATTTCCCTCCGCCATCTCAAGCTCTCTCAGGAGAGGTTTGTAATGCCCTGCCACCTCTCTCTCAACAAACGATTGAGCAACCAGCTCCACCATTTCCACTCAAAGGGATCTTTTCTCTCTTGCCGAAGCCTGAAGAAGAAGAGAAAGACCTGGAAAGTTCTCAAGAATAATTTACACCCACAATGGCAAATCCTGGCAAATACTTCCTTGCTTCTGAGGAGCGGAGAGGGAGGGAAGAGTGAGAAAAGAATCCATTTTGGAAGACTGTCAGCACCACTGTGCCATCTGAAAAGGAGGGAAAACTGTTTTCTGGGACACACAAAAATTCTTGCTTGAGGCAAGAGAGAGAGAGAGAGAGAGAGAGAGAGAGAGAGAGAGAGAGTGATCGTTTATTTCTTTCAATAATTGTAATTTACATTCTATGTTTATTTAAGGTCACCTGAGAAAATTCATGGGCAGATAGATATCAATAGGGGTGGTGGGTATTGTTACTTCACACAATCCATAAATAATTTATGGGGTCCACTGCCTCAAAATGACTTAGGTGACTTAAAAAAAACAACCCTATCAATGTGTATTATCCTCTACGGCTATATGGGAACTCTTGTTAAGAGGTAAATATGCCTTATTTTCCACTATGTCCACGAGGACTTTGCTCTTCCACCAGACCATATGCATCTGATTCATTTGTATAGTCTTACATAGAATATGTAAGCCAATCACACTGCCCATGGTTTTCTCCCACTTTTGATGGGTCCAGAGCCAAGTCTCACCCAGCCTATTGCCTGGCGTCATTCAGGGTGCCCCTATGCATACTTAAAGAATGGAATCAGAGTTGGAAGGGACGCCACATATCATATAGTTTAACCCCCTGCAATGCAGGAATCTCAACTAAAGCATCCATGACAGATGGCCATCCAACCTCTGCTTAAAAACCACCAAGGAAGGAGAGCCCACAACCTCCTTAGGGAGTCTGTTCAAACAGCCCTTACCGTAAAAAAGTTCTTCTTGATGTTTAATTAGAATCTGACATGCTCTCTACACTGTTGTGAGGAACATAAAATGCTGCCTTACGCAGACTGATGATCCAGCTGTAGACACTGTCTTGCCTACAATGACTAGCACTGGCTCTCTGGAGTTTCAGACAGAAAACCTTTCCCAGCCCTGCCTGCAGATGCTCGGGATTAAACTGCAAAGCAGAACTACAACTCCCATCTGTGACCATTGGCCCAGAGCTGAGGCCCAACCACCCATGCTCCCTAAATATCCCTAAATCTGTTCTGGGAGGTTGGAGGGAACCCACAGAAGAGATTTACCTGCCCTGAGGCCTGTGGGTATAGGGCGGCATATAAATTCAATGAAATAATAATAATAATAATAATAATAATAATAGGTGCACAGAGGTAGGAGCAGGGAAAGTCCTGTTGCACAAGCAGACCTTGTTCCCCGTGCACATACCCCCATATATTGCTACACTGAATTTCACTCATATTTCTAAGAACTCTGCTTCTCTCTCCCCCTGTCCCCGTTTCAGCCATAGCCACTACAGTGGTACCTCGGGTTACAGACACTTCAGGTTACAGACTCCGCTAACCCAGAAATAGTATCTCGGGTTAAGAACTTTGCTTCAGGATGAGAACAGAAATCGGGCGGCGGCAGTGCGGTGGCAGCAGCTAAAGTGGAGCTTCAGGTTATGAACAGTTTCAGGTTAAGAACGGACCTCCAGAATAAATTAAGTTCTTAATCCGAGGTACCACTGTACTAACCAACACAGACTGCTATGTCCGCAAAAGCAGGATGTCCATTAATGTGGTGTGAAACTCAGGCTGTGAAACTCATAAAAAACTGCAGCAAAGCACACATCACAAACAAATACTGGTGGAAGAAGGAGGAGGAGGAGGAGAAGAAACACACACATACACACACACACACACACCCCTGGCTGGGTTTCCCCAGCCACTCTGGGCGGCTCCCAACAGAATATTAAAAACACGATAAAACACCAAACATTAAAAACTTCCCTAAACAGGGCTGCCTTCAGATGTCTTCTAAAAGTCAGGTACCGTATTTTGCGCCCCATAGGACGCACCGGCCCATAAGGCGCACCTAGTTTTTTGGGGGGGGAAATAAAGAAAAAAAAATTTATTTCCCCCCCAGGCACGGGGCTGGGGCAGGGGAAGCCCGAGCTTCCCCCGACCCCAGCCCCCAGAACAGGCTGCTTTGCGCAAGCCGTGGGAGCCCTCCCACGGCTTGCGCGGAGCTACCCGAAGCCCCGGCGCAACTGCTGAGCGCGCTGGGGCTTCGGGATAAGAGGCAGCTCTGCGCAAGCCGGGGAAGGGCTCCTGCGGCTTGCGCAGAGCTTCCTGAAGCCTGGAGAGGGAGAAGGGTCGGTGCGCACCGACCCCTCTCGCTCTCCAGGCTTCAGCGAAAGCCTGCATTCGCCCCATAGGACGCACACACATTTCCCCTTCCTTTTTGGAGGGGGAAAAGTGCGTCCTATAGGGCGAAAAATATGGTAGTTTATTTCCTTGACATCTGATGGGAGGGCGTTCCACAGAGCGGGTGCCACTACCGAGAAGGCCCTCTGTCTGGTTCCCTGTAACCTCTCTTCTTGCAGGGAGGGAACTGCCAGAAGGCCCTTGGCGCTGGACCTCAGTGTCCGGGATGAACGATGGGGGTGGAGACGCTCCTTCAGGTATACTGGACCGAGGCTGTTTAGGGCTTTAAAGGTCAGCACCAACACTTTGAATTGTGTTCAGAAATTTACTGGAAGCCAATGTAGGTCTTTCAGGACTGGTGTTATGTTGTCTCGGTGGCCGCTCCCAGTCACCAGTCTAGCTGCCGCATTATGAGCTTGGCACATAGTTGATGGCCATCACTGCCTTTTGTGGCAGCAAACCCCACAGTTTAGCTATGCGCTGTGTGAAGAAGGGCTTTCTATTGCTTGTCCAGAGTCTTCCAATATTCAACTTCATGAGAACTCCATGAGTTCTGGTGTTACGAGAGGGAGGGAGAAAAACTTTTCTCCATTGCATGCATAATATTATACTTTTCTATCATGTCACCTCTTACTCACCTTTTCTCTAAATTAAAAAAAACAAACACTGACATGTTTTGTTTCCTCATACATTTAGCTTAATGATGAGTTTTCCCATTAATCCATAATAGTGAATATGCCTGGGTGGAAAGGAATCACTCTTTTTATATATTAATAATGCCTTTTTCATGGAAGAGCTTCTGAGCACCACCTTCTGGATAGATTGAGGTACTACAGTAATTTGTACACTGGAAATCCTTTTTCAAAAAGCAAGGTTACCTAGTCTCCCCTATAGCCTTGAAGATATTTAAAGAACTTGACCCCTCACAACCTCTATTCCACATTGTGTCATTTCCTGCAAATATGATACAAACAAGTAAAGTACTGCCAGGCAGTGACTACTGGTTTTTGACACATGGTTGCAATGGAATGTTTATTGCATTTGCCATTAACTGTTTTATATTGATGGCTTGCTTTGCTGTGACCTTAAATGTTGCAATATTCATATAACTAAACTGGACTATTTGTTGAATTGTTGCAGGTGGGATTCAACTAAATCGTTGCATCACCCATTCATGGCTCCCACCTTATCCAATATTCTGAACTGTGTCGGCCATGGCAAGGGTCTGCATCCTGTCCTGGATAAGTAGCTCTTTGGACCTAGCCATGCATCTCCTTGATTTCCACTGTATTCAGTCTTCCCTCCGCCATATTTGAAGCAGTACCCTTTCTCCTGTTGGGGAACATGTCTCTTAACAATACTCACTCATGCAATCTCCTCCATACCAGCCTGCTCTGCATTCTGCGCAGTAGATGCCCTTGATGTAGAAGTTGTCTAGCGTTCCTCCCCAGGATCCATTGCGACAGGACTTACAGTTTTCAAAAATCATACAGCCTAAAAAGAAGAGAAAAACCATCTGGTGGGTGGAAGGCTATGTTCAGTTTTTTTCTGACATTCAGAGGAACATTTCTGCTCTGATTGAACAGACCTTGGTTTGGAAAGTGCTCTGAACCACATATATGTGATTTGTTTGTGTCCCCCTGAACCCTCCTAAACCGGTTCTGGTCTTATCCCCAAGCCTTCAGTGTGGATTATGGGACACAGCAGGATGCATGTGGGGAAAGGAGAGGGAAATCCCTTTATTCTAGCACAAGAATTAACTGAATACTGCCCAATATCTCTGAACATTTAGCACTGTGTTTGAACATTCATAATCTGTATCTCAGTCTCACAGAACAGTTGGAATCTCACAAACGCACCTGGCTTTTATGTCAAAAATACAGCACTGCACAAATTTAAAACACTTAAAAAAATTAGACCTAGTATGAATTGAAACTGCTGGGCATGCACATTGGGCTACAAAGGAGCAAATGAAAGTGGATGGCAGAGATAATACACTACAGCAGACAAGCTGTCACATACTGTGTTTGCTCTGGACAGCCAGAACAAGTGATAAAAGACTGGCAGCCTGGTTAGATTGTAGCTGGAAATGTATATCTAAATCTACTTATAGTTCCTTGGCTTCAAGATAGAGGAGCCGGAGGACTTGGGCAAAGCTGTTGGCCTATATGGTACTTCCTTTACTAAACACTATCTAGGGAATTTGACTATTTCCTTGGGATAATATCAAGTAGCAGGATCAGACTTTGGTTATATGGTGCTCTAAGCAAAGACAAAATTTGCCCTCCTCCAAATATTTCTTATTTTCGCAATAATTTCTTTTGGTACAGTTGCTTTTTAATGGATCTTCTCAGTAGGTACCCATATAGACAGTGCTTTAAAAAAAAATACGTTTAGGGGTATTCTCATTTTCCTACTCATATTGAAATACTGTCACTCAAAGAGGCCAAACTCAGATTCACAAAATGTTTAGGGGTATGTGTACCCCCTGAAAAAAGCACTGCATATAAATATAGGTTTTATTATTGGTACTGTAGTATTAGTAATGGTGTTATTTTGTGCCCCCTCAGCTCAGCACCCTGTGCGAGGGAACCACCCACACTGCCCTAAATCTGGCGTTGCAAGTAGACTAATGACCCAGGGTAAACAATTTGGATCAATTCCTAATAGAACTATTATCCTCTTGTTTCTACTGGCTGTTGCTTCCTTATCCCTTTGTCTTTATTGTTTTCTTATTCCTTTTGCGGAGTCTGAGCTCAGCAACTTTGTTCCTATCTTTTTAAGTAAGGCAATGTGCAAGCCAGGCCTGGGAGACTCAGGAATGAAAAATCTTCATCTGGTGCTGAAGCCAACAATGACTTTACTCTCTGGAGGGCTTCCAGGCATACACGGTGAAATCCTGGAAACTTTCGACTCTGAGCGTGAGTTTAAATTATTAGAAAAGGGGACGTACTAACGGCAATATGCTAAATGCATTAACTTTCATCAACTCAGTAAACCATTTGTATTGGCACCCATCCATCTCTGAAGAGAGAGAGAGAGAGAGAGAGAGAGAGAGAGAGAGAGAGAGAACCTATTCATTATCAATGTCTGGCAGACCAAACAGGCTGCACGCTCCACCTAGCTACAAACAGGGTCATTGAATAAAGATTTATATCTGGTGAGAACACCCAAAAGGTGAGGGGGTTCAGATAAGGGCAATAAATCAACATACCTGGGTGGATTAGACAGGAGTCACACTCGTTGTCCTCATTCCTGCAGCACGGAATAGTGTAACCTACCACTTCTTTTCGCCCGGGGCACACACACTTTATCTGATCGTACTCACAACACTCCCGACACATGATATTCCATTCGGCTCCCGGACAATCTTCATTGATCACCGTATACCCTGCAGAAAAGCAAAGGGAAGGGGTGTGTGGGAGGGAATAATTCATTATTGGAAGAATGTCATCCATTCCATTACAGCCAAACAACATGTCAGGCAGGAGATCTATGGTTTGATGTCCTGACTCGAAGGACTGTCATTTGGCCGCTGTTCCTTGTTGCAGGAGACTCAGCAAAATGTATCTTGACTATCACAGAATCCAGGGATGAAAACAGAGCACCTCAACCCCATTTCTGCACAATGCCATCAACAGGATCCTAGAGATATTAAGAGGCAAACCATAGGCTTCACCTGACTTCTGCTTTATTTAACATTGTTCACTCAGCTTGGAGTATGTAAGAAGAGGGATCTGGTTCACATTTCCTTCCAGCTTATGGTGTTTTCTGGAGAAAATAGCTGATGCGATGCATTTGTTTCATATGACATACATTATTGTTGTCAGATGACAGACTGGGAAATTGTATAAACACTGAATTATATTTTTGCTGTTGCATCCTTATCATCTTTTTAATGGTTTACCTGTTTAGCACTGTAGCTGAAATAGAATTGCTATTACTGTTGCTACTACCTATCTGAGCACTGCAGAATATTTGTATAACCGTTATTTTTTAAACAGTACCTAAGGTTTTCATCTTGGCAGACGCTGCCAACTCCTCTTTAAGAAACGCCAGACTGAAGCTGCAAAAATTGTGACTGTTGGCTAAGAAAGTAATTCTGCAGATTCCATCTTCCTTCCATTGGCATGCTGTCTGCATCCAGCAAATTGAAATTTAATGAGCTGACAATTCTATCAGGGTGTCCCTCAACCAAAAGACAGACCTGAGGGCTGTTACTGTGGAGCCTGGAGATAAGAGGAGGTTGCAGAGATGAATAGAGGAAGGAATGTAACAAGACCGTCCTTCATTTTTGTCAGCAGCAGGGCCTTAAATTTCCTGTTTTATGTTCATTGCAACAAAACTGCTTCAATCTGGATTACGCCTTCCACACACAAAGTGACTTAGAAAAAAATTACAAGTTTCTGGCAAAATTAGGCACACTGAAGTCACTATGAATAGAAACATAGGAAGCTGCTATATACTGAATGGACCACTGGTCCATCTAGGCCAGTATCATCTACACTGACTGGCAGCAGCTCTCCATAGTTTCAGACAAGGAATCTTACCTCGAAATGCTGAGGGTTGAATCTGGGACCTTCCCCATGCAAAACAGATGCTCTACCACTGAGCACTATTTCTCTAGAAAAAGAGGTGTCAGAGCTTACCATGAATTTCTCCCTTGTTCTCTTAAAATGGCAATGGTGCCCATCTGAGAGGTGCTGGAACTAAGCTCCTGCATCTGAATAAAGCCCTTGGTAGGGCTCTTCCCTAAATACAATCAGATACCTGTCTAATTAGAAGTAAACCCCACTGAGTTCAGTGGGACTTACTTCCAAGCAAATGTTCATTGTGCTTTTATGAGCTAACTAATTCCAATGGAATCTTCATACATTATTATTATTATTAGTAGTAGTAGTAGTAGTTGTGGTAGCAGTAGAATTTACCAGTCCTAAGGCATACCCTCCAAGTGTACCTATTCTCCAGGGACAGTCCTGGAATTACAAAAGCCATTCTACCTTCTGATTTGATCCCAGAATGTCTCCATTTCCCCCACCAGGGCCACCACTGAGCTCAGGGAAGGGGATGAGCCAGCATTATGCAGCTGTTCCATAATCCTGTTTAATAAACTCTACACAAAGGATATGTTGGTATTCATGGAGACAGATAGTCAGAATGTATGGGCTGTTTATTACACCAATGGCTATTAAAAGTTAGATTGGAATTTTAGACCCATCCTGGTTTATAAGTCAGATGGGTCCATTTTTATTAACAACGGCTATAAAATCTGGGTGACAGGCTGAGCCCTGTGATGTGGCTTGCAACAACTAATTGGAGGGTTTATTCATAGTTTGGATCACAAATATGAGCCAGGTGAGGCTTTGCGACACAGAATCGGTTTGGATGCAGTCTTCCAATTATGAATGAACACTAGAGGGCTACTAAGGCAGAGCCTCTTTAAACAAAGCAAAGAAATAATGCAGAGCTTGTTTTTTTGCACTGGATGTCTTGGCCTCAGAATTCTATTGAGGAAAAATCCCATGGCAGCTTGAACTCTGATGAAAGTACAGAGGGGAAAAAACATACCACAAAGGGTTTCAGAACGTCATCAAGTACACAACTGACTTCAAGCTATAATGCTTCCTTTCTTCATTGGAAATTGTTTCATTTTATCTGAACACACAAGTTTCACATTCATTCCCAGAAATCTTTTTATTTGCAGCAAACAGCACTTTCGGAGGGAAAGAGACACTCTGGAGGGCAGTATTTGGCCAGAAAACAAGACAAAGAGGGAAAATAACCCCTTCCCAGACTGCAATCCCAATTGGTATCGCAGGCCCCAGGCCTGTTCCCCTCTATTCCAAAGAAAAAGCCATGGCCAGTTCTAAGCACAATAGCAAAAAACACCTCAGTGAAACATGGAACATTTAGTGCTATTAAGAATAACCCTATTGGATAATGCCAAAGGCCCATCTAGTCCAGCATCCTATTCTAACTCTGGTGGACCACATGTTTTAGGGAAGCCTGTAAGCAGGACCTGGACGCAATAGCCCTCTGCCCTCACTTGTGATTCCAGGCAACTGCCACCCTGAGGGATCCTGCCTTCAACAGTCGAGGTAGAAGCTAGCCGTCATGAAGTACACATTTGTTGGAAGAGAAGAACAACCGAAATGACTCCCTGACAGATTTATTGTGTTTATACTCAGCATAATTCTCTCAGCTACATGGAACGGTATTTGCTGAGGGGAGGTGGGGAGGAATGCATGTTTTCTTCCGGCTCCATGGTTTAATTATCCAAAAAAATGATTAAAAGTCTAGATGAAGTGCCAGCTTCCTTAATATTAATCTCAATCTTATTATACCAGTAAGGTAAGAAGGAGCGACTGGCTAATTTATTGGGATGGAACAAAGGGAGAAATGTCATTAAGCACTGACATAAACATTTGCAAATTCAGTGAGCCAGGAAATAGCCATGTCCTTAATATGTGTGTGAGAGAAGCGATTCGATTTCCCATTGCTAGGCTCAGGCATTCTTAAACAGATAGGCTCCCTTGTCTGCATATCACTGGCTTGAATCAGACTCAGCTATGATTTTTTCGTTGAGAGAGACGGAGAAAGAGAGAGATGACTTGAGGAGAGGATAGAGGTTTGTAACATTATTCATAGAATGGAGAAAGTGGATAGGAAGACACACATCTTTTCTCTTAACACTACAGCCACTCAGGGAAGTTTATGGGCAGTAGATTCAGCACCAGCAAGAGGAACCTTTTCACACAGTGGATAAACAACTTATGGGATTCACCAGCAAAAGATGTGGTGATGGTCACTATCTTAGATGGTTTTAAAGAAGGGCCTAGACAAATCTACAAAGTTGCTGGAAACCACAGCAGGGGAGCGGGCTTTTGTGCTCATGTCTTGCTTGTGGGTTTCCCACAGGCATCTGGTTGATCATTGTGAGGACAAGATGCAGGATTAGACTGGCCCGTGGCCTGATCTAGCAGGCTCTTCTTATGTTCCTAAGACCTGTGTGATGTGAATTCCTGTTACATATGAACTGGTTTTATGCCTCTGAATATCAGAGACCTTCCAGAAGCTCCCTCTTTTTTATTGAGCATTCATCATGATTTAACTTGATGATTTATTGAATGATTTATTGAGCATTCATCATGGTTTTACTTTTCTTTTTCTTTTTTTTTGGTCTTGTCTCTTTTTTGTGTGTAATTTAAAAAAAATTCTCAATAAATATCATTTTTAAAAAAAATAACCTCAAGATGTCACCAGGATGGTCACACATGATCATGCTTTCAATAACATTTCCACCTGCAAATGTTTTCGGGTGGTCATACGGCTTCACTGCCAGTTGGCGCATCTCCTGTAGTTTCCTACTAAAATCCTGTAACATTTCATACCACAAATATTCCGTGTGCATATCCCTCTTTCTTTGCACCATAGTCTAAGAGTGCCCTCTCACGGCAATAATGTTTATAACACTAGGGAAGTATCACAGAACAACTAATAAAATGGAATGATGTGTATAAATTTACCACTATTGTACAATTATTGCATCAATGGCATGTTGTAGAATGCACCCCCCCACACACAAAAGACTAGTTTGGAGGGGACCATAATGTCTGGAAACCCACAGCAGATCCTTTTCACTCTGTCTGTGGGATCCAGTCTAGCCACTGGCTAAAAGTCTAGCCCTCCCTCTCCTCCTCTTGCACACCCTGACATCCATGCCACCCCCTCAATCTGCTCCAGGGGGTTGGGGGAAGCCCCAGAGCAGATTTTTTGATGGGGCCAACAAACTTACACAATGACTTCATTGGATACAGTCTAAAACACGGGAGAACCTCTGCCAGCCAGTAGATAATGCTGGTTTGGACGTAACACTAAACCACAGTAACTCTGGTAAGATACAAATGTGCCATTTTTTTTGTGAAATACTTCTTCCCTGGTTCTAGTATGTTTACCACAAACCCTCATATTTCCCTTTTAGCTATTTGAGTGTTTGTTTCTTCTAATGGAGCAAAGCATTTAGGTTAGTGAATGTAGTATGTCATAAATGAACTGGAACCATTGGTAATGTTTCCATCAGTCTTATTTGACAGAAAAGTGTCTGTTTTTCTCATCATGGTCTGGGCACATGTAATGACTTCACCCACTGTTCCCTGTGCCAAACCACCAATGCAACTCTATCCCAAACTGCAAGCTCATGGAGCATGTGGCCATAGAATAGGCCCTCACAAAATGCTTTTTACAGCAATTTAAAGAAGTTAGGAACCAGTGGCTTTGAACAAACACTGTATCTCACAGCCATAGCTGTCAACTTTTCCCTTTTATTGCGAGGAATCCTATTTGGAATAAGGGAATTTCCCTTTAAAAAGGGGAAACGTTGACAGCTATGCTCACAGCTCTGACAATGCAAGTGTTCCAGTGTCTAGATATACATCTCAGTGCTTTTCAGCTGCTGTGCTAGAAGGATTGTTGGAGCCCTCTGCTGTATATGTTCTTATAAGGACCAAACTAGTTGTGCAAATATGATTACTGTAATGTGAACAAGCTTTGTTATGTAAACAGCACCACAGGGAAGCCTGGCACCTATGGGAATTTCCCTTGAAATGCAAAAAGCAGCTTTGGAGAGGCAGTTTTTGCTGGGACTGTGGCAGGGAGAAAAAGAGTTAATGACACAGCTTTCCAGTCCTGAGGTTGCTCAGGCTTCTCTGTAATTATACACACACACACACACACACACACACACACACAACCCCCCCCCCCAAGTCTTATGGTGCTTTCTGGTTAAGTAAGAGCAGTTGGAGTCTTCAAAAGACACAAATATTCTCATCACTATGCTCCCTCCTATGACTTCAATAAAAACATAGGAGGTTTTTTTTAATTATGGCCATATAGGGAACATGAAGGTTTTTCTTGGCAGATAGAAGATGTGACATAAACTGTTACAGGGTTTTGTGTTTTGCTTTTTTTTACACATGACACAGCTTTTTGACCTCTGAGCAAATCAGTTTGCAAGAGATTTTTCATGAGTTTGGTGGGTGGCCAATGTGTGGAATGTGATCCCTTAATCGTCGGTGCATTATTTTTCTACCTGATATATTTATATATATACATACATACATATATCACTGATTTTTGACCCCTCCCCCCAAATTCAGGCCCTTATGAAGAATTTATGTAATACATTTCCTGCATTGGAAAACCTGACCATTGTGTTCTGCTTTGTGAGTGTGACTCATTTTCAGGGGATGGGGGGGATGGACAGGATTGGCAGGAATATTGCACATACACAGATAATGCTTGACCCCATGGTACAAAACTATTTGTTTGGAATGCATCCTGGTGAATCATCTTTCCAAACCTCCCAAGAATCCCCAAGCAAGCTGAGCACATAAGGGTGTGATCAACATGCAGAGAATTTGTTTACTTCTGATGGAACTTTCCTTATATTAAATAGTCTGCACGCTCATGGAAGACAAGGGTAGCAAAGGCTGCTAACTACAATAGCTATGTTTCACCTCCACTGTTAGAGGTGCTGCACTTCTGAATACCAGTTGCAGGTGGGCAGAGTGTGACTGCACTCATGTCCAGTTTGTAGGCTTCACAGGGGCATCTGATTGGCCACTGTGAGAACAGCATGCTGAACTAGGTGGGCCATTGGCCTGATCTAGCAGGCTCATCTTATGTCCTTATGTTGCATGCATGCAGACATGCTATTGAGACTGCATCTGCTTCTAAAAAGTGAACCTGTACTGCCTTCAGTGCTGTTAACTAGTTGTCACCATACCCAGGCAAGGCTCTCACCCTGCCATGTAGCATCACATACATTCCAAAGGGAACCTTGCCTTTTGGGAGGCTATATATATGGGTAAAATAATAGCATAGAACAGAAATGAGGAGCTTGTGGCTTTCCATGTCTTAGAATCATAGAATTGTAGTGCTGGAAGAGACCACGAGGGTGATCTAATCCAAACCCCTGCAATGCAAGAATCACTTTGCTTCATGTGGGCTCGAACCCACGATCCTGAGATTAAGAGTCTTGTGCTCTACCAACTGAGCTATCCCTCCCATCATCCCTGAGCATCGGCCATGCTTGCTGGGGCTTATAGGAGTCTGGAGGGCCATGACTTCACCATCCCTGGCACAGAAGGTGTCAACCCTATATCACTGAAAGGCAAGGTATCATGTTTTGAAGAAGGAAGATGAAGGAATCTTGTCGCCCACAGTGCTCCCTGCCCCTGCTGTTCTGCAGCGGCCCTTTTCAGACATTTTATCTAAGGTGATGCAGGCCAGCGGCACAGCCTGCAGCTGTGATCCTATCCCCACTCCACCCCCCCCCCATTCTACATAGATCGAATTTTTTTAATCTCCCTGGGTCAGAAAAGCATCAGTCACTCTCTTCAGAAGTGCCGCTTGCTTACATCATGTTTGCCTCAAACTCCCTTTGATGCCTTTGATTCGATCAAAGAATTCTGCTGCACCTGCCAATCTTCTCTCTCCTGGCTCTAGGGAGATAAAATGGGACTGCCTCTGTGTTTTTTGCCGTCTCCCTGCCACCCACTCTGCCTCAGGTAAGTCAAAGTTGTCCTATGTATTCTCATAAGTAAGTGTGGGATGGACGTCTCAGGGGTCTCCACACCTTTTTTCTCCAGGATAAACTGGCTCTGGGACGCGGGTGGTGCTGTGGGTTAAACCACAGAGCCTAGGACTTGCTGATCAGAAGGTTGGCGGTTCGAATCCCTGTGACGGGGTGACCTCCTGTTGCTTGGGCCCAGCTCCTGCCAACCTAGCAGTTCAAAAGCACATCAAAGTGCAAGTAGATAAATAGGTACCGCTCCGGTGGGAAGGTAAATGGCGTTTCCATGCACTGCTCTGGTCTGCCAGAAGCGGCTTAGTCATGCTGGCCTCATAACCTGGAAGCTGTATGCCGGCTCCCTTGGCCAATAAAGCAAGATGAGCGCCGCAACCCCAGAGTCGGTCACGACTGGACCTAATGGTCAGGGGTCCCTTTACCTTTAAACTGGCCCTGCTTTGCATCCTTTGTAGTGTTTTTGCCTGGGTGAAATGCCATTGATCTGCGGTAATGGCTCTTGTTTGTCTGGATGGGGAACGGAATGTGTAGCCTATGGTGCAAAGGTAAAACTCACAGCTGTTGCTCTGCTCGCTTTTGCCTCTGGCCCCGCCCACCACTGTGTGGCCCCCCAGAAGAGAATGAGGCCCCTGGGCTGAGAATCGTTCTTCAGTGGTGACAGGTGTGGCCTAGAGAGAGGGTGTGGTGGGGGGAGAGTCACTAGGGCCAGATGTGGAAGCTTGGAGGGCGACATTTGGTCCCTGGCCCCGAGATTCTTCACTCCTGTCCTAAAGAATTCTGAGAATTATAGATTGGTGAGAGCAAGTGTGCTGGAATAGATTCCTTCCCATTCCTTACAAAACTATGGGGTCCAGGTGAGAGGGAATGACTGTTACATAGTTTGTGACAAAGATGGAGACAAAGACCAGCATTGCAGCATTCTCCTGCCCCTGGCCCATCCCTCAACAGGGCTGAAACTGGACTTTATTTAACCTGGGTCAGGCTCAGTTTGGCACACACACCCATGCACATTTGCATACACACACACATACAGACTGGGAACCTCAATGGCGCCCCTCTGGAGGTTTCACCTGGAGCAAGAAACCTGGCTAGCCCCCTGCCCCCGCCCCCTGTAGCTACAGCTCTGCCCTCAGACATACACATGTAGAGGGGAGAGAAATGAAAACAGGAATGCCCTTACAGGTTGAGGCCCTTTTTCTGTTTCTCCACACCTATCCATCACTATCCTGCAGTGTTTACTGTACAGCAATTAGGTAGAATCGGGGAGCAAAAAAATTAAAAGAGGGTAAAGGCAAGGAAGCCACAGCTGAATATCAGAGGAAACATTGACTATCATGCATTATAAAGTGACTCAGCAGGTAAAACTAATTGCTGACTCTGCTAGAGAGTCTGTCACTGTTAGGCTGCAGGGCAGCTTTGGCAATAGGAAATTAACCCAACAGACGAAGCTTATCCTATGGAAGGAATGCGGATTACTATCTGAGGAAATTAAATGCAGGGGTATCCCACAAGACTGTTCTTATCCAGGGATCTTTGCTTTCATCGCTGAGGTGGAAAAAGTTAGGGCTTATCTATGTTCCATGTTCACAGTGCCAGAGTGCTGTTGATGTAGCCTGAATTGCAGTATCTACATTGAAAACATCTGGGAGCTGGTATTAAATACTCCCAGAAGCTGCGTTTTTAAACTGCTTTGAGGAGGGCAAATGTCCCTGCTAAAAGAACAGTAGACCTAATAGCAGAGCAGGAAGTCCCAAGAACAGACCTGTCCTAGTAAGGTATTGGTCTATTTCTCCCTTGCCCCCCATTCCCCAGTCTCCATCATCATCGCCTTTGTCTGCACAAAAAACTCACTGTGTATTCTCACAACCTTACTTTCTTCCTGGTTCATAGCACACAGCACTGGGGAGGTGGGAGGGGAATACTTTATTGTTCCTTAAATCAACTGTGTAACCGGACAGCTACACTTGTGCTATTATTGGATTGCTTCAGCACTGCTTGGGCAGTAATAAACTGCAGCGTAACTAAGCCCTTAAGAGGGAGCTGCTCAACTACTTTCTGGAGGCAAATACAGAGACTACCTGAATTCTCTTGTATGCTTACCACAACCAGAGCTTCTAGACTTCTGAAAGGCCCCAAAGCAGAATCTGCTGGCCCTGGGGAATTGCCCAGGAAATCCATTTCATTTGACTTTAAATGCATTCAAGTGGAGCGCAAGACCTGATGCATAACTTTACATATGGAGTTATTTATACACACTATGAGCTTCGGTGTTTGGAATGCTGCAATGTTTACTTGGTACATGTGATTTTACCATCATTCTTTTCTTTAATGAGGCAGCAATCGGCAGGCTTCCTAACCCGGAGAATGGATGCTTATGTTCCTTATTTCAAAAGGCCACTGCTTACTCCAAAAGCCTAAGGGTCCCACAGAATGCCACAACGTGCCTTTTTATGTCAACATACTGTCCAAGGGACGTTGCAGATTTCCTCCTTTCAGATTCCAGAGTTTCCTGTTGCCCATTAGTTATTAAAAAGTTGATCTGGCCTCCCACCCATTGCTCAGAAGGGTAACCTGCGAGGGACTGCAAAGGACTCTGGGAGCAACAAAAGGAATGTGAGAGGTGCCTGGGCGTCCATGGCAAAACAAGGTGGCATGAAAGCAGCGCGCTTTGGAGACAGTTCCGGCAAACATATATTGAAAGAAGAACTATTTTGGCACTATGCATGCCAGCTTGGCAGGCCAACAGGCGAACGACAATCATGCAATAAAATAAAATAGCCCCTTTTAACTTCCACACTATTTTCCCTTTGAAGTAAAAAAAAAAAAAAGTTGAACAGTACTGGCAAAAGTAAAGCACAGGTCGGAACTCAAATCTGGCTTTTGTTTTGCTTGTCTTCCCCTCCTTTCTTCGGAGTCAGGCTGAAAAGGAAAATCTGCCTTTTGGCAAGCTAAACAAATTACACTTTGCTAAAAGAAAAAGGGGTGGTGTTTTTCTTTTCTACTATTTCAGGGAAACCTAGCAAGAAGTAGATTTCCAGCAGTGTGGCTCAGTCAGATCCTATTGTTTTCCTCCAAATTCCCAGGAAACTCGTCCCAGAAGGTTACAGGATTAATCCCACCACACGGTGGGAGACCAAAAATGCACCGGTCTTTCTAGAAGGGGCGGGGGCCCCGCAGAGACCCGTCCTGTTAAGCATGCCTAGAAAGCGAGTCGCCTACTTACAGTACCTCTTGGCAAGCAGGAAATGAACAGGAGCTGCAAGAGGACTGCGAGTCCCAGGTGGGTCCAGGGTGCTCTCTCCATGCTGCTCAGAGTCAGGCCGCCCAGGGCAAGCGGGTGGCTGCTGCTCAGGGAAAGGCAAGGCAAGGGAGGCAGGCAGGCGAGCAGCTTTTGCTGGGACCTCTGTAAGTGGTGCTTCTGTGAAGGCTCTCAGATTTCAGACCTCGGCTCGGCTCCCCTCATCATCAGAAGGGGGAACTACCTTCAAGAGACTCCTCAGACGGCCAGAAGCAAGACGACGTCACCCCCCAAAAAACCTCTCAGCTGCTCCTTTTAACTCTTTCTGCGCGGGAGGGGAGCGAGAGGGAGGGACCCGTTGGACGCCCAGCAACACACGCGTCGCGCTTCTCGAGTGCAAGGGACACGAGGTCATCGCGGAGGGGCGGGGAAACGGGCGGACAATGTGCTTGGGGCAGCTCCTTGCGTATCTTGTGAAAGATACCTGGAGCAGGGCTGCATCAGAGCCAGCAGGGATCCCTCGAACCTCTTTTCTGTGCCGAGGTTTAACTCTTGACATATGTGGGCTGTTTTGCATCTGAACATGTGCAGAATTCTAGAGAGACACAGCAGTCAGGAACCTTACTGGGTGCTTCCAGGCTGCTGTTTGATTGAGGTGTGATTCAATCACATAGCGGCAAATTTAAGTTGGAAGCTGAAGCTGATTTGGCGCTTTTGTGCAACAAACTCATCTCCCTCAATCGCTATAAGAAAAGTGACCTGAAAGAGAGGGATGAGCTTTGCACCCGGGTATAACAGCAAGCAAATCAGAATGAATGCTCAATAAATGCCCAATGTCATTTAACTTCCCCACAAACTTTATGCACACAAATTGGGGTGAATAATCAATAAAGGCATGGCCTGGAAGCAGCCATTGTCTTTCTTATGCTGGAGCAGAACAGCAACAGGAATCTCCTGACTCCACCCAGCTACAAGTAAGTTCATCACCAACTAATAACTAAACTATACAAGAGGAACATAAGAAGAGGCTGCTGGATCTTGCTCATCTTGTCCAGCATCCTTCTCTCACAATGGCCAATCAGGTGCCTGCCTATGGGAAACCCAAAAGCAGGACTTTGGTACAACAGCACTTTTCCCTCCTTCAGTTTCCAGCAACTGGGATTCAGAAGCCTACTGCCCCCAAACGTGGAGGCAGAACATTGCCATCATAGCCCCACGGAAAATGCATGGCAGTCATCTAGTGTACTGTACCAGCCCTCTGGAACCCCACTGCAACATTTGGCTTCTGGGTTTTTCCTGTATATATTTATCAGCCCCTTTGCATTTTATGTGCAGCTTTTATGATTCCACTGCACTCCGTAGATGAGATGCAAGCTTTTTCTTTGAAGTGCTGAATGTAAACAAAGCGTTATGACAGATACCAAGATGAAAGAATTATGGGTTTGGGAGATTCTCAAAAGGTTATGTCATTCAGCTGACACTGAGGCAGGCTTTTCTAATACATTAATTCTTCTAACAACCATCTCGAAAACAAAAAGGAACTCTACAGCTCTTATTTTAAAGCTGATCTGATGGGAAGCTAAGATGGCTAGGGATTGAAGGGCAGGATACAAATCTGCTTAAAGAAAGAAATGTGTGTGCTAAATATATGATGTGATAGTTTCCCCCCGCATAGTGATTCCCCCCTCCCGTATCCAAACATGCAACACCCACCACTGCCATGTGCTATCCGAAGTGACATAGAACGGAGAGAATTTTGCTTAAATTAGAAAGTAGTTAAACATAGAACCACAGCTAGTCTCATAAACTGCAACAATGGAAAACCTTCTGGATGATGCAATGCCATATTCTACTCCAATGTAATGAAGTCAATAAAGGGATGCAAAATGATTTCAGAAGATTCTGAGTTTGGTTGATTCTGAAGCTTGCAGAACTCAGTTCCGGTGCCTCTCAGGAACGCACCACTGCCATTTTGAGAGAGAGAGAGAAATAGTACTACTTTTCTAGGGGGTGAGGGAAGGTGCAGGTACTCACCATGAATGCCTCCCTCATTCTTTTAGAATGGCAATGGTCCCCACCTGAGAGGTGCCAGAACTGAGTTCTGGCAGGTTCTGACTGGAAAAAAAGCCCTGTTCCTGCCTCTGTTCATTAAGCTGCTTCTCACTCCCTTTTAAATTCTCCTCTTCCTCAGGATCTTCCTCATCTTTTTCTTTTTAAACCCAAGCCAATCCAGAACCATCTTACTTCCTCCTTTCATGCAATAGGGTATTCCCACAAACTGTAGAAATGGCTAGCTACTCAAACACAAGAAGAGCCTGGTAGAGCAGGCCAAAGGACCATGCAAGTCAGCATCCCATTGTCAATGGCCAACCAGATGCCTTTGAGAAACCCCCAGGCAGGACCTGAGCACAAGAGCACTCTCCCTTTGGATGGCTTTAAAAAAGAGCCTTAGACAAATTCATGGAGGATAAGACTATCCATGGCTATTAGTGTGCTGGGAAATTCAAGCTGCCTACATAACAAACCCAGTCCCACCCACCCACCAAGCCCAAATTTTGACTTTTTGTCATAAGGCAAGTCACAGGGATAACAAGCACTAGAACTAGGATACCAGGGTTCATCTATTCCACTTGAGTACTTAGACAGGGCTAGTGAACAGGATAGCAAAACCAGGAGCATCAGGAATGGCCATGGTATTCCCTGCAGGGTGTGGGCCTCATAGATGCCTCACAGTGCCTGTCCCTGATACCAGTCCTTGTCGGAAGCAACACAGTTATGCATACACACTACAGACCCTCCAAGTATCCCTATTTTCCAGGGACGTCCCTGATTTAGAGAAGCTGTCCCGGTTTCTGATTTGATTCCGGAATGTCCCATTTTTCCTTAGTCCCAATTTTCATCAGAGCAAAGTTGGAGGGTGTGACACTATGCATTTAAATCTCTCTCTCTCTCTCTCTCTCTCACACACACACACACACACACACAGGATTCGAAGAACTGTAGTTTACCCTTCACAGAGCTAGAGTTCCCTGCACCTTTAACAAATTACACTTCCCAGGTCCTTTGGGGCAAGTAATATGCTTAAAATGCAGACAGTCATAGTCCCACCTGATGAAACCATTTAGAGAGATGGAGGGTGGGAAATGTAAGCACACTGAGAGCCCGAAGCATATCTGTATCTCTGAACACAAATTAAATTCAAATGGAATGCAGCCCCGAGGCTTGAGCAGAAGCAGCAGTTTAATGAAAGATTATCACTAATTTTTATTTCCCCCTTCAGCACATAATTGCTGACTTCAGGCACCCTTTCGGTAAAGAGGTAGCAAAACACATGTCTGTAAAATACGGCTTTTAAAGAAAATGCCAGACTACATTGTAGCATCAGATGTGAACATTTTTATAACTTACTTGGAGGACTGAACAATAAGTAGAAACGCACTGCCCTTCATGGAAAATCAATGCAAATCAATGCAAATCTGAGGTTCTGCCCCCCCCCCCAACAAAAGCCTGCCCCCTCTAACAAAAATTCTGGCTATGCCCATGCTGCCCTTTAACTGTAGGTTCAACCACATGGGCAGGCAGTGCAATATCTAGCCTTGTGTTCATATTCCTCCAGGAGCACTTAAAAGCCAGAATAGTGCGCTGGGCTTCCCATGCACTCACCTCTGTGCAGCTGATTTATTCCTTTCCTTTAAAAGGTATACACAATGTGGTCATCATGCAGATACTGCTTTAAATTAATACCCCACAAATGCCTGTGCCTGAGTTTATGTAGCATTATTTGTAGTGTTAATTATGTAGCAAATATTTGTAGTGTTAATTGTGGTTTCCAGCAAGAAATTGTTATTGCTAATACAGTGGTACCTCTGGTTAAGAACTTAATTCGTTCTGGAGGTCTGTTCTTAACCTGAAACTGTTCTTAACCTGAAGCACCACTTTAGCTAATGGGGCCTCTTGCCACTGCGGTGCGATTTCAGTTCTCACCCTGAAGCAAAGTTCTTAACCCGCGGTACTATTTCTGGGTTAGCAGAGTCTGTAACCTGAAGCGTATGTAACCTGAAGCGTCTGTAACCCAAGGTACCACTGTAATAATAATTGTAATGATGGTAATGTTGGTGCTTTATTTGTATTTCTTTGGGCAATATGGGAGCTTTCAAACTGCTAGGTTGGGAGGAGCTGGGACCAAGCAACGGGAGCTCACCCCATTGTGGGCATTCAAACCACCGACCTTCCAATTGGCAAGCCCTAGGCTCAGTGGTTTAGATCACAGCGCCACCTGCGTCCCAAACTAAAATTAAGAATACACTTATTTAGGCAATTTATATACCATGCAATAAGTAAGTATCCAAGTCATTTTACAGAGTTACAAAAATAACTATGTAAATACAAGTTGTTGTTTTTTCAATCCACATTTTAAAACAGCAGTGGTTTGTGCAGGCTTGTATTCCCAGATGGTTATTTATTTATGCTGCTTAGCTGTCTAAGGGTTAAGTTACAGAGATGGCTTCCTAGAGAGGAGATAATTTTTGGTGGGGGAGGAGGGGCTTGGTCCTCCAGAACAGAGGCACCTCCCCATCTTGCCTTTGGTAAATGTGCTACTTGGATGCTTGGTGCCTGGAAGGAGTGAAGAGGCTCCACTCACTTGGAAGCCAAACCACTAGCCCAGATAAAATTCTACCCATGAAGTCATCCCAAGGACACAACTGTAACATTATTTTTAAAAATGTGCATCTTGTTAAAATATAAAGATGTATAGCATCACATCTACGTTGGCCCTGAGGGATGCAGCCCACGCAGGTCCAAAATAGGCACTTAATATTCTCAGGTTCAATTACAAGCAGAAAACCATTTCTAAAGGCCAGGATGCTCTCCTCAAAATACATCTAGCTCCCCACAGTGGCTGGGGTGGGAGGGGTATAAATAATAAATTACTACTACTACTACCACCAGCACTACTACTACTACTACTACTATAAGCTCATTAATGTTGTATTGGCCTAACCATTGTTTAGCGCAAATGTGTGAGAGGGGATTGTGACTGCTTTTCTCCTCAGCCATTTTGCTGCAGTACTGCAGTAGCCTGGCTTAGCTTGTCATCCAAACTCTGACTCATAATTGGCTCTCCCAGAGAAACCACAAGAAGCTGTACACCAAGAACAAACCTTGGTTACTTGGAACAAACCTGCATTAAGGGAACGCAGTGGATTTAGCCTACCTTGATTTCAGCAAGGCATTTGACAAGGTGCCCCATGATATTCTTGTAAAGAAGCTGGTGAAATGCGGTCTTGACTATGCTACCAATCAGTGGATTTGTAACTGGCTGACTGACCGAACCCAACGGGTGCTCATCAATGGTTCCTCTTCATCCTGGAGAAGAGTGACTAGTGGGGTG